TCGTAAGACGAGGATTGCCTGTACACACTTCCTTGCAATTCTTAAAAAGTCTCCTTGCTTGGGGTTTCCTCAAATTTCAGATTCGGGATGTCGCGAGTGGGCAGAAAAAGCGATTTCCAGAGTAAAAATAAAAATGCCAATCAAGAAGGGAGAATTATTAAGGAGGTCAGATTAAGAAGGTCAACTTGGCAGCCAGGTGAGGAGGGGGCGAAGAAGGGGAGTGAGAATTGTGCCGAAATGTACAGCCCACAACTCCAAAAATCATCTGGTCCAATTAAGGCCTCCGAGAACGCCAATGTCCCCAGGGGAAGAGAAACAAAGCAAAAGTTGGAAAGAGCTACCTGTTGTCATATCCCTCACAGGTGAGCTGAAATCCTGAAGGGGAACACTCTTCCAACAGGTAAGAAATGCATTTATTCCCTTACAGACCTGGCTGTGAAGAATTAAGTCGGCAGAATGGCTTCAGAAGACATTTTTATGAATTAGATCGACCCTTCTAAGGAGTTAGCGTGTCATCTGAATGACACCCCGTGTCTTCCCGGAGGCGATTCCGATTGGAGACGGAGGAGGTGAAGGCGAGGTTCACCTACCTGCTAGGGATGGTCTGATTCTGGTTAAGTGGACTGCGTGACCCATGCTGGTTTACGATAAAATAAACCACCATTGAGTCTATGGAGATTCTCAAGTCATCCAACTCATGCTGGTTTATGATAAAATAAACCACCATTGAGTCTATGGTTTATGATAAAATAAACCACCACTGAGTCTATGGAGATTCTCAAGTCATCCAACTCATGGTTGTCCAAAAAGTGTGTTTTTTTTTTTTCAAGAGGTAACTGGACTTTCCGGGTTTTTTTCTTTGAAGACCTTTCGCTTCCCATCCAAAGGAGCTTCTTCGGTTCTCAGTTCAGTTCTTTCTTAAGAGCTGAAGAAGCTTCTTGGATGAGAAGAGAAACCTCTTCTAAGAAAAACCAGAAAAGCCCAGTTGAAGAAAAAAAAGAAAAAAAAAGAAAAGCAGCTTTGGGTGTGAAATGACAAAGGTTAAAACAGAACCAGAGCTGGCTAGCGATCCGATTTTATTCTCATATAGCATCAACAGGCCCTAAAAACTTACTTTTTTCAGCTAGCCGGGCTGGCCTGATTCCATGTTGGTTTTAATGTTTGATACTGATTTTAATTGATATGTTTTAAATTATGGGCCAAATTTCATTTAATTAGTTTTAATAATTATTTTAACTTTTGTGTACAAATGTTTTTATTTTGGCTGTTCACCGCCCTGAGTCCGAAAGGAAAAGGGCAGTATACAAATTTAAATAATAAACAAACAAACAAACAAACAAACAAACAAACAAACAAACAAACAAACAGGAGATAAAAGTCATGGGGTGGGGGACACATACCCACACACCTCTTTCCAGGCTCCATGGCAGTGGTCCTTTCTGTTCCACCACAAAGAAGGCAACTCAGACAGTTTTTAAGGAACTGGCCAACATTATTATTATTATTTTTTTATTTATTTTTTTAAAAAAATCCCCTTTTGAGGTTGTCGGGAAAAGAGTGTGACTCTGCAAAGATGCCACACCGCTCGGAGTTTGGGGGGTGGGGGGGTGGGCAGCTCAAAACGTGGGATATACAGTAATTGATAAAATCAATGAATTATGTCCACGGGAGAGAAGAGATTGCAAGCCGGCCTACTGAACCGACCAAGTGCCTTGAGGGTTGGGGGCAGCCTTCGTGCCAACCCACCCAACTGGGATGGGGGGGTTCAGGTAGGACGGGGGATATGCCTCCTAAGCTCATGAATGATTGGGTGAGGGAACCTGCCAACGTTCCATGCCTCCCTGTCATCTATCTATCTATCTATCTATCTATCTATCTATCTATCTATCTATCATCTATCTATCTATCTATGTATCTATCTATCTATCATCTATCTATCTATCATCTATCTATCCATCTATCTATCTATCATCTATGCATCTCTATCTCTATCTATCTTCTATCTGTCATCTATGCATCTCTATCTATCTATCTATCTATCTATCTATCTATCTATCTATCTATCTATCTATCTATCTATCTATCCATCTATCAATCACAAGAGTGGGTTGGAGCTTCAGCTATCTAAAAGGATGCCCAGCTAAGCATTTCCAAACCAAGGCATGAGAAAAAAAAAAAAAACCAAGGAGGTTGTCCATAGTAAGTTGTGCTGGAAGGTAGCCAGCTTCGTAGTAAAGAGAGCTTCTACCCCCGTCCAGGTATTATATAGATTCTCTCTTTTTTAAAAAGGGAGGAAAAAAAAGCCAAGGATGAAAAGCCCATTTGAAGCAGGTGGGGGGGGGAGGGGAAGCCTAGAGAGCCTTTGCCATGCATTCAGGTCAATCGCCAAGTTGGCACTTCCCCCTCGTGCCATAGAGGGAAAACACACTACCCTACACACACACACACACACACACACACATACACACCCATCCTGGGCTCCGCGCCAGGAAGGCCAGCGTGAGCAGTGCCGTAAAATTCCCCGGGTTTTCAGCACCCAGGGTAAAGGACTTCCCGTGCCTGCCCATTCCTTTGCCCGTCTCAACCCCGCCAAGGCTCCCGGCAAGCTGCTTTGATGTGCTGGAAAAGCAGCGGCAGCAAACGGGGGGGATGGGCTGGGCTTGTGGGGGAGACAGATGCGCTATGGAAGGGAGAGGACTCCGGGAGACAGCAATGGAGGAGGAGGAGGAGGAGGAAAGGAGGAGAGGAGGAAGGAAGGAAGGAAGGAAGGAAGGAAGGAAGGAAGGAAGGAAGGAAGGGAGGAAGGGGGGAAAAAAAGCATCATTCAAATGCAAGGCAAGAGGAAAAAACCTATTGTAATTTCTGGGCTGGCTTCGGATGATGTCATAATGGCAGGCAGCAAATGCAACTGGCCAAACGCTGGGCACCTTGTAAATCTCTCTCTCTCTCTCTCTCTCTCTCTCTCTCTCTCTCTCTCCTCTCTCTCTCTCTCTCTCTCCTCTCTCTCTCTCTCTGCCCATGTGACCTCTAATACCGAGATTTGGCCGAAATACTAAATGATTTCTTAGCGTTTTGCATGGAGGAGGAGGAGGAGGGAGGAGAAAAAAAAAAAGAGAGAGAGAGAGAGAGAAGGATGGGGGGGGGAAAAAAAGAGAGAGAGAGAGAGAGAGAGGAAAGGAACCAAATAGGCGAGCTTGCTGGCTACCCATCTGGTCCAGAGGGTTTCGGGGTTTTTTTTTTTTTTTTTTTTTTTTGCATCCCTGATTCCCAGCTCTGCCTATCTTATCTGCGTGAGCGCGTGTGAGTGTGTGAGCGTATGAGAGAGAGAGAGGAGAGAGAGAGAGAGAGAGAGAGAGAGAGAGAGAAGGGGAGGTAAGGATGGGGGGAGCCCAGACATTCCACTCCATCGGTACACACCCCTTTTCTTACTACAAAGGCAGCGCTAGCAACCACATTTGCTAGAGTACAAATTCCGCTCCCGCTGTTGCTACCAGCCTCGCTTGCCCTCCTCCTCCTCCTCCTCCTCCTCCTTCGCCAGCCTCCCATTTTCAGGAGAAAACACCCTCCACCCTTTAATATATATATATATATATATACATATAATATATACATATATACATACATATATATATATATATATATATACACATATATATATATATATTCCACAAAACAAGCTTTTGCTCCTTTGCTAGATCCTAGTCTCTCTCCCACCCTTTCTCTCTCTCTCTTTTTTTTATTTAAAAAAAAAAAAAACATGGACCGGTGGGAACGAAGGGAAAAAAAAAAATCCGCCTTTCGCTTGCAAACGGTACGGACGCCGCCGTCGCCGGAGTTATTATTGAATGAAATGCAAACAGCTTTCGCTCGCCATCCGGGGCTGAGTGGAGCCAGCTGTCCCCCTTCCCTTCGCTCAGATCCATCACCGCTCGTTCAAATTAAAATGATAATCATCAATACTTCGAGTCGGCCCCGGGCCCCACCCCCCTCGCTGCCCCACCCCCACCCCAGACAGATAATGCTCCCCAAAAATGGATGCGATTTGGAGCGAACCAATTAGAGGCGGATGGAAAGAGAGAGAGAGAGAGAGAGATTAGATAGATGGATGGATGGATATAGATGGATAGATAGATATAGATGGATGGATAGATAGATAGATAGATAGATAGATAGATAGATAGATAAGGCAAGTACACACATACACACGCTCGTGTAAGCGTGCAAGCACGACCCTCACCAAGAGGCATGCACGCATCCTTCCTTTTACACCCATCCCTCTCCAGAGCCCCTCGTCTCCCTAAAGCCCCTTTCCCTTCGCCCTCCCCTCTCTCCCCCACCACTATCCCGCTTCTACAGGGAAAAAAATTAAAATAAATCCCGCTGCAAAAGAAAAACCTCGCTACTGAAGGGAGAATTAAAAAAAAAAAAAAAAAAAAAAAAGGAAAGAAAAAGAAAGAAAAGAAAGAGGAGAGAGAGAGAGAAAAAAATAATCCGCATGGCACCGAACGCCGCCGCTGCCACCGCCGCGCCCCCCCTCCTCCTCCCCATTCCTGTTGCCGACCCCCGCTCGGTCCCCATCATCATCATCATCATTTTATTTTATTTTTTTGCAATATCTGGTTGCTATGCCAACAGCCCCCCCCCTCGTCCTCCTCCTCTCCCTTGCCTCCGGGAGGAGGGGTGGGGGGGTGGGGAGAAAGGAAGAAAAAGAAGAAATATCTTTTTTTTAAAAAAAAAAAGAGAGAGAGAGAGAGAGAAATGGGTGGGAGACATGGAATGGAGGGTCTTTGGGATGGGTGGGTGGGGGGGTGGGTGGGAAGAGGAGAATGGCTTGACCCCCTTCCCTAGACCGGAGTGTCACATCGGGGGGAGGAGGCGATGGGGTGATGGGGAAGGGAAGGGGGAGAGGATGAGAGAGAGAGAGAGAGAGAGAGAGAGGGAATGAGAGAGGGAGAGAGAGAGAGAGAGAGAACAGGGCAAGGGGTGTGGTAGCGGCTTACCAATGATGCTGATTTGATTGTGGCAAATGGTTCTCTGTTCCGGTAGTGAAGGGCCTGATTCTGGACCGAATGAGTAGGCCGCAGTTCAGGCCTGCGCTCCCCGTGGCCCACCTCATCCCTTATGAATACATGATCCTGCAGAAATGGATAAAAAGAAGGAGAAAGTCCAGTTGTGCTCTTCCTTCGCCAGCAGCCTTGCGCTCACCCTGTTTTTCACATAAGCCCGGCTGTTTGAAATGCATAGTTTGGCTCTGAGGCTCTTGATAGACCCTCACAGCAATCGCGGTACAAAACGAATCGGGAACCACATTGTCAGCCTTCCTTCTTCTTTCTTCTTCTTCTTCTTCTTTCTCCTTCTTCCTTCCGTCAGCTGATTGCTAAGTGGGATGCTGCCGTCTGGATTCCCCGGCAGGTTTTCTCTTCTTCTTCTTCTTTTTTTTCTTTTTTTCTTTCTTTCTTTCGTTTCTCTCTCTCTCTCCCCTTCCTTCTTTCCTTCCTCTTTGCTCCTTTGCTCCTTCTCTCTCTCTCTCTCTCTCTCTTTTTTTTTCTTCCCTTCCTCTTGGAGGTGGGGAAGGGGGGGGGCCTTTAACCTCCAAAGAAATCACATCGGTCCCAAAAAGAGCATTGGAAACGCCGCCACCGCCGAGCACTGCAGAGCTGTGAGAGGAGTCCTCAGAAGCACTGCTGGCTGAGAATGCTGCGCCCAAATAATCGCTTTAAAAAAATGGTTTCCATGGCTAGGAAAAACGCTGCTCCTGTTCCTGCTGCCGTCTTTGAAAAGAGGAGTAAGGATTTGCCTCATTCCCTTGTCCAGCCTGGGTTTTTTTTTTTGTTTTTTTTTTCTCTCCTTTTTTCCTTTCTCCCCCTCTCTCCTTTTTTTTTTTTCCCCCCCCCTTTCTCTCTCTCTCTCTCTCTCTCCCCCCCCCCCCCTTACACCTCTCTGAACTCAGCTATCTGCTCTGGAGAAGAATTTTCTGCCTGGATGGCTGCAGCCTCGAGGAGGAGGAGGAAGAGGAGGAGGAGGAGGGGAAGAAAGGAAAAGGGAAAAAAAAAAAAAAAAAAGCAAAAGCCAAAAAGGGGGGAAGCAGGAAAAAAAATTAAAAAATAAAATAAAAGAAGAAGGTGGTGAAAAAAAAACCCAAAATTTAAAAAAAAAAAAAACACCCCAAAAACACCCGCTTTGGCTTCTAATCGGGTTGCTCCCAAAGATTTCGGTGGCTGCTCAGAGATGCTGCTTTCTAGTCATGATCGTACACGATTCTAGCATTTTCTCTCCATAGCCTTGCAAAGGGATGAGAAGGGTTTTTTTTTTTTTCCTTTCACATTTAAAGAGACAGAGCACACTATTTCCCCCCCCCTTCCACACACACACACACCCGTCGTACAAGTGTGAGCCTGATCCAACAGGCGAGGGAACTGGGAGGATCGTGCAGCTGGCTTTAGCTGTGACTTGTGCGTGCCCCTTTGGGGCGTGGGGAAGGGAAGGGAAGGGGAGCAGGGCCGAAGGAGATATAGATATGATCGAAGAGAGGGGAGGATATGCAGGGCCTTTGGTGGGGGAGAGTGGGGAAGGGGGCTTTTGACCCAGAGCGGGTCCCGATTCGGGAAGACACACATGCGTGCACACGCGTGACGGCCCGTGAATGCACGGGTTGGATGGCCCTAAGTTTTGCTACCTACCTACCTACCTACTTCCCACCCCACCTCGAGCCTTAGTGGGTCATCTGTGAAATGGGGGGGGGGGATAAATGGCTGTCTTCCACCAGCCTTTGGGCTGAACGTGAAAACGGGCACACTGGCACGTGTGTAAAAACCCCCCTTACGGGGGGGGGGGGGGTCATCTGTGGTCAAGTCAGCGAGCGAGTCATAGAGGCTGGCAAAAGTCGCCGCGTTGGCGCATGTTTCCTTAGACAAGGGTGACCGACGTTTAAATTATTATTTTTTAAAATATATATATATATAAGAGACCATCGCTTGCATTTTCGCCAGGGGTGGGAATGCGGGCAGAAAATAACAGGGTTTTTTTCCCCCCCTCGTTTAACGACCACAACTGGGGCCGCCGAGCGAAGCAGCCGCTCCCTTAAAAAAACCGCCACACTCTGCCGATGGCCGGATTGCAAGTTTGCTTCGTTTTACAACACCTGAGAAGGTCATCGGTGCAAAGGCTGGGGTTGCGGGTAGTGGGGCAGGGGATTGATTTATTTTTCGTCACCGTCGTCGGGGGCTTGGGAAACGAGGCCGTCGTTAAACGAGGATTACAAGGTACAGTCCAGAGTGTATTGGCTCTGGCGCCGTTTGGGTTTGCTGCCAAGAGACTCTGGCAGGAACAGGAGTGAAGTTGCCTACGGATTTTAAAGAGTCGAAGTGGCTGGGAAACACATTCGTTGTTAAAAATGAAAACACAAGGAAAGGCAGTATCGAACAATTGCGGGAGGCGTATTCCGGGACACACAACAAACGCACAAGGGTGTGGGCCACAAACCAGGTTCTACAAGTCGGCCAAATTTTAACCCGGGGTGGAGTGGGGGAACCTGGCTTAGGGTTATTATTCTGCCTGCATCCTCAATGCTTCCTTCAAGGTTCCCAGCTTTGCAGCTCCGTCAAGACGTGGGAATTTCCTAACGAATTCTTAAAGACGGTCCTCCTAAAACGATCATCTCATGCAGGCAGTCTTCGACTTATGACCACAACGGTGCACCAGAACTTCCACCCCTAAGCAAGGCGGTCTTTAAGTGAGTCACGCACAGTTTGGATCCTCTGAGTACAGGGATGCTACGGCGTAAAGGTTGGAAGTGCAAGGACCAGTCCGTAGGTTTACTTCCCCCCCCCACTTTTTGCCGTTAAACGAAGGGTTGTAACTTGAGGAGTCCCTGTTCTCTTCTGTGCCGGTGAGAGACCTTCGATTTTGCAAAACTTTCTAACCTTCCATCATTAAGCAAAAGCAGATCTTGCAAGAAATTTGATGGGACACCATTTAATCATCTCAAGATTTGGAAACCTGGTATGGATGGTTAAGCCATGGTGGTTTTTTCTAAGCCGTGGTTTATCACTTATAAGCTACGGGTGGTTCTCGACTTACGGCAATTGGGCCCCACATTCGTGTCGCTAAGCGAAGAGTGGTGCGGTGGCCTAGAGGTGGAGCTCTTGCCTTACAATCAGAAGGCTGTGAGTTCGATCCGAGGTAGAGGCAGATATTTCTCTCTCTGGGCGCACTGAGAATATATCTGCTGAACAAAACTCCGCACTGGCGACAGGAAGGCATCCGGCCAGTAACCACTCTGCTAGCTCCATTCGGTTGCCCAGACTCCACCCTGCAAGGGATTTTGTGGTCGTTAAAAGAGGATGATGATTTGTGTTGCTAAGCGAAACTTTTGTTAAGTGCATTTTGCTCCGTTTTTAGAACCTTTCTTGCCACAAATGTTAACTGAATCCCTGCAGTTGTTAAATTGGTCACTTGGTTGTTAAGTGAATCTGGCTTCCCCATTGACTTGGCTTGTCAGAAGGTCGTAAAAGAGGATCACAAAACCCCGGGACACTGCGACTGTCATAAATACGAGCCAGTTGCCAAGCATCTGAATTTTGATGCCTGCAATAGTCATAAGTGTGAAAAATAGTCCTAAATCACTTTTTTCCAGTGCTGTTGTAACTTGTTGTAACAGTCACTAAAATGAACTGTGGTTGAGGACGACCTGTAGTCCTCAAGTTAAGACCATTCGACCAAAGTTAGAGCAGTCCTGAAAAGAGTGATTTAAGATTGGTCCTCGTGCTTACAACCATCGCAGCATCCCCGCAGTCAGGTGAGCAAAGTCAATTGGGGGGGGGGGATCAAGATTCACTTAACAACCTTGTTGCTAACTTCAAGTGGGATAATTACACCAGTTGAGACCAGAAACGGGTATCTGCGGTCTCAACAATATATCTAATTTTCGTTAAAACTATTGAGCCTGGGCAGCACTTTTGATGCCAAAAGATGCTTCGGTCCAGCTGAGGTCAAGAATCTGTTTGCACAGGAATCGGTTTCTTGAAATTTGTTTGCGACAGGATTCCTGTAAAAAAAGCCGCAACCCCTCCAAAGTACCTTTAAAATCAACCCGGACGACCCATGACTTGTCGGGGGTCATCCTCTCAGAGAGGCTTCCTTACCTAAACAGGTAAACAGAAAGGCCACGGTGGGCAAAAATAACAGTAGGAGCAGGAGTGATTTTCGATTTCCCACTGGCTTCCCCAATGACTTTGCTTAAGCCAGTGTTTCTCAACCTTGGAAACTTAAAGATGGGTGGACTTCAACTCCCAGAATCCTCCAGCCAGCGCTGCTTCTTTGCTGGGAGCTGCTGAACCAGTGGTGGGATTCAGCCAGTTCACACCTATTCAGGAGAACCGGTTGTTAACTTTCTAAACAGTTCAGAGAACCGGTTGTTGGAAGAAATCTTATTTTGTTTTTTTCCACTTTATTATTATTTATTCAATTTATATACTGCTCTTCTCCTATTGGACTCAGGGCGGTGCACAGCCAAGGATAAAAAACATGCCAATACAAAATTTAAAATCAATTAAAAGAATTATACAACTTTGGCCCACAATTTAAAACAATCCAATTAAAACCCAATTTACACTTAAAAAGCTAAAAAGAGCTAAAAAAGGGCTAAAAGGTGGGGGGGTGTTCACACCAGCCCTGCTTGATGGAAAAGTTTTTAGGGCACGGCGAAAGGCCCGGAGATCTGGTATCCTTCGTATCTCCGGGGGCAAATCGTTCCAGAGGGCAGGTGCTGCCACAGAGAAGGCCCTCCCTCTGGGGGTCGCCAGCCGATATTGTCTGGCTGATGGCATCCTGAGGAGTCCCTCTCTGTGGGAGCGTACTGGTCGGTGGGAGGCTATCGGCGGCACTTTACAGGGCTAATCCTGTAAGGAAGGCAGGAAGGAAACATTCTGGTGTTGTTTCTAGCCTAATCTTTATTGCCCTGTTTACAGAAACTGCCTCTCGGTTTAACCCTTATTACATTGTAACAGCTAAGGCGAAGCGCCCATCGACCTGAATGACGTTGACTTGGCCACGCCCACACGGTCACATGACCATCGAGCCACACCTACCCAGCTGGTTATTAGGGCAGAGAACCGGTTGTTAAATTATTTGAATCCCACCACTGTGCTGAACCAACTCATTCTTTCAACTTCCCAGGTAGCCCTTGACTTCCGAGTGTTTATTTAGCAACTGTTCAAAGTTACGAACGTGCTGGGGGAAAAAAAAAAGGAACTTACAAACAGACTCTCCGACTCACAACCTTTGCATCATCTCCCGTCCTGTGATCAAAATTCAGGAGCTTGGTTAACCTGTGTGTACTTACAACGGTTGTGTCACATGCTCTCTATGTCTTCCGACAAGCAAAATCGACCAGATTTGACTAAACGACGAAGTGGCTCGCTTAACAATCTTGGTCATTGGCTCAGAGCAAGTATGGAAAAATAGGTGATTAAATCGGGTGTGACTCCCGATTTATGACGGACTTACTTAAAAGACGGAGGTTCCGGTTCCGTTGTGGTCATAAGTCGAAGACTGGCTGTATTTATTTTTGTTTAAACACGCTTCTACACTGCCACAATGAAAAGTATTCCCAGTAGCTCAAGATGGCAGACTCTCTCAAATGCAAAGAAGAGGGATTGGGGGGGGGGGCAGGGGTGATTTGTTTAGTTTCATTTCATTCGCACACACTCACACAAATCTGGCCTTTGCCTAAATAGATCCACCCGTTGGGAGAGCAACCAAGTAGAGGAAGGATCAAACAGGGAAGTAGCATGGAATCATTAGGTAAAGACAAGAGGGGCAAGATCAGAATCTCCTTAAATGTCTTTGAGCTTCAATCTGGCTTTTCCCAGGCGAATCTGCCAGCCTGAGATGATTCCTGTAAAAGAGGCATGGAGCAATCAAGGAGCTAGTTTGAACTCTACCACGTGTGGGGCTGGTGGCTGGTGCCTGACATCATCCCACAGAAATCACATTGGATCAGAAGGATCGTTTTACTGAGACCACGTGTTATGTTCGGGCGGCCAGCGTGATCCGAACATTGTACTGACATGAGCCCTGAACCACGTACCTTCTCGGGGAGATCCGTGAGCAGCTATTTGGTCAAGAGAAGAATCCACGTGCAGATCAGGATCGGGTGGGAAGCTACTGAAGTTACGGTGTTAGTTTAGGGACTGTGACAGTTTCAGCCAAAGGACAACCACTTAGGGGGGGAGACAAAGTTGGGGAGACAAGGTGGTGTTGCAGGACAAGGACAAAGGTACGCATGCAAGGTTGAAGGACACAATGAGAGCAGGATATGGCAGAGGCTGGCAGGCATTCTGTCTTAAAGGCGGATCTTAGAAGCTTCCACTCGTCGTTAACTTTCTTATTTTCGTTTCCAACCTAACCATCAAGAACCGATTCCCACTGTCACCTACGTTTCATCTTCGCCCGCAGCTTGACAATAACAGGGAGGGGGATGGTGGTCGGAATCCAAGGGAGGAAGAACGGTATTCAAGCGTCCGTCGGCTTCCGTGAGACACTGCTGGCATCTCAAGGATGCCCCGAGCAGATGTCCCAGCGTGGCTGGCCTGTTTCCCATAACATAAATGATTGTTCGAAGTTTTGGACTGTGGGTGGCCCATGGGGAAAAAAAGGGAGAATTAACTATACTTGCTTTTGTGCGGGAAACCCAGAGCTGGTTTTGCTTCTTCGGTGCCAATGTGGTTTAATGCAGTAAAGCTTCATATACTCTTGGTAAAATAATGTTCCTTTTTCTGGATTCGCTAATTGGACACCAACACTACTCAAGATCTGTTCTGGACACCATCCTTTACATGAATCCTGCATGGACACTGACCCTAAGCTCTTAAAGCAGGTATGCCTTTAAGGTAGTCCTCAATTTACAATCACAATCAGAATTTCCATTGTTCAGCAAGTTCGTTGTTTAGCGATTCGGGCCTGATTTTTACCTTTTTTTTTTTTTTTTGGCCACAGTTGTTAAGCGAATCACTGCAGCTGCAATTGTTTTAAGTGAATCTAGGTTTCCCCCGTTGACTTTGCTTGTTGGAAACCAGCCGGGGAGGTCAGAGACGGCGATCGCGTGACCTCAGGATGCTGCAACCATCATACGTACATGCCAATGGCCCAGCATTTGAATTTTGATCCCAGCGGATAACATGACGGATTAAGTGCGGGGACCGCTCATTGGTCTCTCTTTTCTTTTTCCAGTGCTGTCGTAACGGTCACAATATGAATGGGTTGTAAGTTGAGGACTACCTGAACTGATTAATATGTCCATGAGGACTCGATCATCCAGGCCAAAGTGTCTAAAAGGTTGAATCATGGCAAACGGGACCAAAATTTGTTAATCGGAGAGGTTTTGTTGCCCGTCCAAGCAACTTGGGTCAAAAAATTTTTTAAAAAAAGTATGCAATGCAATAAATCAGGGATGTCAAACTAGATTTCTTTGAGGGCCGTATCAGCATTGTAGTTCTCCTCCGCGAGCGGACCTGGGCCGGGGTGGTGGAAGACGGGATGGACGATTCCTGCAGCACCCTGCCGGCCGAAATGGGGCACTGGGGTGTAAGTCCTGCATGTGGCGGCCCTGCACCCCATTTTGGCTGGCAGGGTGCTGCAGGAGGCCATCCAGGCCGAAAACGGGGCACGGGGCACGGGGGGGGGCATGCAAGCCCCCCCCCGTGCCCCGTTTTGGCTGCCAGAGGCACCCTGGGCCAAATTTAAGCACCTCGCAGGCCGGATTCGGCCTATGTACTTTGAGGCCTCTGCAACGCATCAATGGAAACTCCAATCATCCAGGCCAGTAGTCCCTAACTTTTGCGGGCTTGGAGGAGGTGTAGAGGGGAACTGGGATGCGTGAGTGGTGGGCATCGCGCACACGAGAAGAGAAATCTTTGGGGTGCGGTTTTGCGCTCCCTCGGGCTTCTCCACGCCAAAAGCTATTTATTTATTTATTTATTTATTTATTTATTTATTTATTTATTTATTATTTATTTATTTATTTATTTATTTATTTAAATTTGTATACTGCCCTTCTCCCGAAGGATTCAGGGCGGTGAACAGCCAAAATTTAAAACACACACAGTATAAAAATTAAAAAGAATTAAAACAGAATTAAATCAGTTTGGCTTCCCTAAGTTTTAAAACCCTTTCCCCATAAAATAAGCCATTCAAATTTTAAGCCAGCCCGGCTTGCTGGAATAAGAAGGTCTTTAACGCTCGGCGGAAAGTACGGAGGTCCGGGATCAGTCGTATTCCTGGGGGTAGCTCGTTCCAGAGGGCGGGTGCCCCCACAGAGAAGGCTCTCCCCCTGGGGGTCGTCAGTCGACATTGCTTGACCGATGGCACCCTGAGGAGACCCTCTCTCTGGGAGCGGATTGGCCGGTGGGAGGTTATCGGTGGCAGAAGATGGTCTCGTAAGTACCCGGGCCCTAAGCCATGGAGCGCTTTAAAGGTGAGAACCAATACCTTGAAGCGCACCCGGAAGACCACCGGGAGCCAGTGCAGCTCGCGCAGGAGAGGTGTTACATAGGAGTGCCATGTCGCCCCCATAATTACCCGCGCGGCCGCATTCTGGACCAACTGGAGCCTCCGGGTGCTCCTCAAGGGGAGCCCCATGTAGAGAGCATTGCAGTAGTCCAGGCGAGAAGCAGAAAGGCCTGAAGCAGCGCGAGATTATTCCCCCGAAGCTTTTTACCTGCGGGCCAGGGGTTGGGGACCTCTGATCCAGGCTAAAGGTATCTAAAATTACCTAACTTTTTTTTAAAAAAAACGTTTGGACCGAGGAAGTTGCTCAGATGAGCAATGAAACAATCTCAGATTAACATTAATTTTGTTTCCCGTTGCCATCATCATCTTTTAATAACCCCCTAATCCCTTGCGGGGTGGAGTCTGGGCAACTGAATGGAGCTGAGTGTTTTACTGGCTGGATGCCTTTCCTGTTGCCAGTGCTGAGTTTTTTTCCCCCCGGCAGATATATTCACACTGTGCCCAGAGAGAGAGAGAGAGAGAGAAATATCTGCCTCTACCTAGGATCGAACTCACAGCCTTCCTCACTGTGAGGCGAGAGCTCCACCTCTAGGCCACGGCACCCACTTTGGTTTCCCGTGGCCGTGGGTCGACTTTTTTTTTAGACGCCGCACCGATCAACGGACGGTGCGTTCAAGATCTGCAAAGAAAGTGCGGTAAAGCAGAGATCAGGTGAGAGCGGAGGAGGAAGGGTGGGTGAGGAAGCAGCAGCCCAGACGTACCTTCTTAATGACAACAGAGGAAGTGGAATTAATGGAGCTCTCGTGGTCATGCATCAGAAGCAGCTCAGAACTGCTCTCCTCCATTACCTCCTGCACGCTGTTGACACTGCTGCTCTGGCTGCCTGTGCTGATAGACATGCTGGGGATGGAATGATTGCTGCCCAGACTGTCCATCTTCCTAGTCAGGTTTGTCCCATGCTCACTGTCCTACAAAATAAGGAGCGGCAGCTTTAACGGCGGGATGAAAGGAACCGCCGCCAACCAGGGGGGAAGACTAGAACAGGGACTGTTCTAGAGGAGACCCCAAAAAGGTTCTCGCCTACTTCTGGGTCAGTGATGGAGAACCTTTTCGGCACCGAGTGCCCAAACCGGAATGCGTGTGTGTGTGTGTGTGTATGTGTGGGCGCCGGAGCGCCCGAAACCTGAAGATCAGCTAGCCGGCGTGTGTATGCCTGTTTTTTTGGCCGTTTTTCAGGCTGTTTTCAAGCCGTTTTTCAGCTGTTTTCAAGATGTTTTTCAGCTGTTTTCAAGATGTTTTTCAGCTGTTTTCAAGCCGTTTTTCAGCTGTTTTCAAGATGCTTTTCAGCTGTTTTCAGGCCATTTTTCAGCCGTTTTTGGCCCATTTTCAGGCCGTTTTCTGGTGTTCCGGCACCCACAAAGATCAGCTGGCTGGCGTGCATGTGTGTGCCGGAAATCAGAAGAGCAGCTGGCGACGGCGCGCGTGCCCACAGAGAGGTCTCTGTGTGCCACCTCTGCATGCGTGCCATAGGTTCGCCATCACGGTTCTAGGTCCTTTCCTCCTTTTGTGGGTTCCTCGGGGCTCTCTGAGCTCGGTGGTCTTCTTACAGACGTTTCATGACCCAACTAGCTAACGTCATCAGGGCTAGGAGGGGGTGGGGGGTTTGTGGAGAGGAGGAAGAGGATTGAGAAGGAAGGAGGAAAGAAGAGGAGGAGGAGGAGGAGGATGGAAGAAGAATGTGGGGTCTTGGGTGCTCTCTGAACTTGGTTGTTTTCTTGTAGACATTTTACTACCCAACTAGGGGACATCATCAGTGCTAGGAGGGAGTGGTAACGAAATGCCTGCAAGAAAACCACCAAGCACAAAGAACACCAAGATTCCTCCTCCTCCTCCTCCTCCCTTCTAGCACTGATGATGTTACCTAATTGGGTAATGAAATGTCTGCAAGAAGCCCACCAAGTTCAGAAAGCACCAAGGACCCCACAGTCATTTTCCTCCTCCTCTTCCTCCTCCTCTCCACAAACCCTACTCCCTTCTAGCACTGATGATGTTACCTGGTTGGGTAATGAAATGTCTGCAAGAAACCCACCAAGCTCAGAAAGCACCAAGGACCCCACAGTCATTTTCCTCTTCCTCTTCCTTCTCCTCTCCACAAACCCTACTCCTTTCTAGCACTGATGATGTTACTTAGCTGGCTCATGCTTAAAGAGCACCAAGGATCCCACAGTTCAACCTTGAGCTACAAATATTTTCTTTTCTCAGCTTCCTTCTTCCCTTGTAACCAAAAAAACAAACAAACTGGTTACTGGGAAGTGGCAGGAGCCAAACAGCATCTCCCTAATGTCTGTTATCTGCAAACCGGTTGATCTTTGCCAGTCTTGCCCTCTGCATAAATCAAGACAAGCGTGAGTAACTTTACTATTTTGGGGCTAAGTATCCTCAAAATCCCATCTTTTAGGCACCAGATACGGAAGGGAAGAATCGCTTCACAGGAAACTCCTATTTCACTTCTATTTTTAACCTGGGGATGGAGTAACTAATGGAAATTAGTTAGATTCTTGCTATCCATCCCAGATAGCAAGAAATGGTTAAAATAAAAAATAAAAAAGTTAGTTGCTATCTGCCTTGGGTCATATTCCAGCAGCCATACTGACAAGAAGCAGATGAAGGGGTTTTCGACATGCGTTCAAGTACAGGTAGTCCTCGACTTACGACCACAACGGGAAGGGGGGGAGGGGCTGGAATTTCCATCGCTAAGCAAAGCGAGGCGGTTGGTTAAGTGAAGGGCGCCCAATTTTACAAAACTTTTCTGCCACGTTGGTTAATGAATCCCGGGGGGGGGGCATTGTTAAGCGAACAAGTGAAGGTCGTTAAGTGAAACCGGCTTCCCAGTATTGACTGGGCTTGTCAAAAGGCGGTCATGTGACCCTAGGGTCAAATGCCAAGCACCCAAATTTTGATCGTGTAACTCTGGGGATGCCGCCACACAATTGTAAGTGTGAGGGTGCTGGCCGTAAGTTACTTTCTTCAGGGCCGTTGTAACCTTGAATGGCCACTAAACGAACGGTCGTAAGTCGAGGACTGCCCGAGCTCAGGTTTGCATGCTGCATGCAATGATTATTTGGCGGGATGAATGACCACTTTGTCAAAGACCGCTCCGGAAGAACGGTGAGGGTGAAGGTGAATTCACACCCAAATCACAACCGAACGAGCTTTCTCCAAACTCTGTCTCTATCCTTGCTAGTTGATGGCCACGTTTGGTGGTTAAAATGTCTGGGAGGAAGGATCTTGGTCACCGGCCATTCTCTATGGCTCTTGTTGCTTTTTTAAACCAAGATTCCTTCTAGTCTGAAAGAGCCGTGGTGGCGCAGTGGTGAGAATGCGGTACTGCAGGCTGACTCTGCCGAATGCCAGCAATTTGATTACCTGACCGGATTAAAGTTGACTCAGCCTTACATCCTTCCGAGGTCGGTAAAAAAGGTAAGTGTTGGGGACAAGAGGCTGACTCTGTAAAGCGCTAAGAGAGGGACGTATAAGGCTACTGGTCAGTTGTCCTGATCCTTTCTTTATTTTCTAAACACCACGTTAACTCACTAGCACTGTGTTGTATTGGGCAAAAATAGCCACCCCCTGCGTAAATAAAGAAGAAGATCCAATGAGGAAGACATCCTCCAGTTGTCCTCCATACGGAGTGTCCTCCCCCTTGATTGATGGGCAGGTCGGCCACGGACTGGTCTTTATCCCCATTTCAAGCGGGAATGAAGTGACCCTTGGTCCATCTCATCTTAATTCAGCCACAGGGAGAAGTTGTTGTTGTTTCTGGTTGGGCTGCACACGCTCTATCACAGTGATGGCTAAACTTTTTGTTCGTTGTGTGCCGAAAGTACACGTGGGTGTACTTGTGCGTGACCCCCCCCAGCACTTCCCCCTTCCCTGTGCGCATGCGCACAACCCTCCTGCCCCGTTTTGGGCCTAGTAGGCCTCCCTGCAGCCTCCTGGGACCAAGAACAGACACCCCCCCACCCCCGCGGCCCATTTTTGGTCCCAGCAGGCTTCAGAGAGTCCGGCTAGGCCCAAAACGGGCCATGGGAGGAGGAGGGGGGGCGTGGTGCAGCCCTTCACGCTTCCCCTCCCCCTACACATGACCCCCCTGCCCCATTTTGGGCCTAGTAGGCCTCCCTGCAGCCTCCTGGGACCAAAAACGGACACACACCTCCGCGCCCCATTTTTGGTCCCAGGAGGCTGCAGGGAGTCCTGCTAGGCCCAAAATGGGCTGGGGGGGGGGGGGTGCGGTGACTCCTCTCCGGCAGCCCGTTTTTGGCCCCGGAGGCTGCAGGAGTCCTGCTAGGCCGAAAACGGGCCACGGGGGGAGGGGCAGCGCAGCCCACCACGCGCCCCCCCATCCCCTGGCATGCACACATGTCTCCCGCATGTGGCCAGCCCCACCCCTGGGCATGTGCAGCTGGCCGGCGGGAGGCGCGCCTGCATGCGTGCCACCTGTGATGGTTCGCCATCACGGCTCTATCATCTCTGTTGGACGTGGTCATGACGGAAAATATCTTGAGTCACGTTCTTTAGTCCGGGTACGAAATGGCAACTACCGGGCCCTGTTTTGGGGATCTAACTGTTTTGGGAGCGACTGTTTTGGGATCTAAGTAGGGCCGTGACCCCAAAACTGAGAGCAAACTTGATCTCAAGGACTGTCTCCAAAGCAATCAGCGTGCAGAAGTCAAGAGGTAAGACAGCCTTGTTCCCAACTACATTCCTCAACGTTGTGCTGGGAAACCCATGAAAAGGGACTTCGGGAGGGAGCCCTGTGAAGCAGGAGACACGTTATTATGACGATTATTGTTATTATTATTATTATTTATCGGCGGTATAGATAAACTTGATACCTCCTCGTCTTCCTGAGACTCGTTCAGAGGGCCATTGTAGACCTCCTGGAAAAGGATTTTGTTCATTTTGCGAGACTGGAGGTTATCCAACTCTCGGACCGCATCCTTGGTTCTTTGAATCAAGTCTACGAGGACCCGGGACGGACGCTCGCATCGTACAAATTCGTGCTGGGTTTTAGAAGGGATGACAGAAGCGTTCTGGATGAGAAGACATAAAAAGAGGCAAAAGACGAGACCACCCGACCCGCCCAATCTCTCCCACAACCTCCTCCTCCTCCTATAGTTGTACAAGGAGAAACTCATTATGAAGTCGAGAAAATTTTAGATTCGAGGCTATATAGGGGTCGCTTACAATACTTAGTAACCTTTGTCTGAAGCAAGATAGGTACCATTTTATCATCTTTTTTATCATTATCATCTTCATCATCGTTGGATAATTCAGGAAGACTGAATTATTATGAAATGTAGCACTCCAATGAAAATTTGGTCATTTTAAAGAGGTGGGGTTTTTTTTACATAAAGAGCAAGTTCAAAGTTGACTGATGTCATGTTGTTGACGAGATATGGCCTTGTTCATATAGACTCACTTATATATTGTTGACTGTTGTTGATGGGACATGCCCTTATGCATACGGACTCAAGACAATGTATTGTTGACTATTGATGATGGGATATGGCCTTATTGGTACAGACTCATCACTAGGTATTGTTGACTACTGATGATGGGATATGGCTTATTCATACAGACTCATCACTAGGTATTGTTGACTATTGATGATGGGATATGGCCTTATTCATAGAGACTCATCACTAGGTATTGTTGACTACTGAAGATGGGATATGGCCTTATTCATAGAGACTCATCACTAGGTATTGTTGACTATTGATGATGGGATATGGCCTTATTCATACAGACTTATCACTATATATTGCTGACTATTGATGATGGGATATGGCCTTATTCATACAGACTCATCACTAGGTATTGTTGACTACTGATGATGGGATATGGCCTTATTCATACAGACTCATCACTAGGTATTGTTGACTATTGATGATGGGATATGGCCTTATTCATACAGACTTATCACTATATATTGCTGACTATTGATGATGGGATATGGCCTTATTCAATAGAGACTCATCACTAGGTATTGTTGACTACTGATGATGGGATATGCCCTTATTTCTACAGATCCATAACTATATATTGCTGACTATTGATGATGGGCTATGGCCTTATTCATACAGACTCACTTATATATCGTTGACTGTTGTTGATGGGACATGCCCTTATGAATACAGACTCAAGACAATGTATTGTTGACTATTGATGATGGGTTATGCCCTTATCCGTACAGACCCATAACTAGGTATTGTTGACTATTGGTGATGGGATATGGCATACAGACTTAAGACTATGTATTTTTGACTGTTGTAATGAGATATGCCCTTAGAGACTCAAGACTACATATTCTTGACTCTTGTTGATGTCTTATGCTCTTATTCATATGGTCTCAAAATTCACGAATGAAGGCAAATATACATGTCCAGGGATAATGTTGCGGGATCCAATCTGGACCGGTTGCCAGGACCGAAGGTTTTGTCTTCCGAGTTTTTGGACTCATGCTTGAAGCCCTTCCTTGGGGAACTTCTCTCTCACAAGAATGTCACCTTTTCCCTCACCAAAAATCACACTCTGGTTAGAGAGAAGATCCCTGAGGATGGGAGTCCAAAAGATTGAAAGGTTATACCCCTGGTCTCAGTGACCGACCCAGTTTGGACTCAAGACTATGTATTGTTGACCGATGACCGGTCTACTTTCTTTCACCAAACAAGGAAGTAGACTTCACAGTACATCTCCTTCTTGGTCTTCAACGTCTCACTTCTTCTATTCCACTCACTCTGTCCTTACTTTGATTTCTGCTTCTTTCAAACTACTCGTCTTACTGATGGCCTCTTCTTTTACTTCCCCAGAATCCTTGGTGGGGAAAAGTTCTAGGGAGCAGGGCTAAAAATGGACCACTTGGGTTTGCTCAAGCTTGTCTGATACATCTGAAGAGAACTTTCTAGGGGTAGAACCAAATAGGGAGGAAAAACCAGGCAGTCCCTGGAGGAAAACTAAAAGGAGAGTCAGTTGCCTCTCCATGACACGTATTTCCCAAGGCAGAAAGGTGAAACGTTACCCTCAAAAGTTCGGATGACGATGGACGCTCCTGAGGTATTTTCTGCAAGCAGTAATCAACAAATCTTCTAAAAGAGTCTGTCCTGAATATGGGAACAGAACGGATGTCAGAACATGTTCCGGTAGGAGAAGGGATAGAAAAGTCAAGGTATGGCAGTTGAGAATTGCTAGCGTTGATGCTGTTATCCAGTTGGGTAATGAAATGTTTGCAAGAAAACCACCAAGCTCAGAGAGCACCAAGGACCCTACAGTTGTCCTCCTCCTCCTCCAACCCCACTGCAAACCTAGTGCGCGCATGTGCAGAGCTGCCAGAAGGCAAGAGCAGCTGAAGAAAAAAGGACGACTGGGGAGTAAGGCCTGGAGATGATTGGCCCCTCCCATAAGTTCTTTGTAGAAAAGCAACGTTGATTCCAGTGCTTTTTGTCAAAGTCTCTTGAGCTTTGTGGGGTCTTTGACAAGAAAAGCCTTTGGCAGGTTGCCAAAAGACATCAACGGTTGGTGATAAGGCTGAAGAATTTTATTTTGGACTAAGCCGAGAATGAATTAATTCTCAGCTGTTTTAATAAAATAAGTTTGTTGAGGACTGAATTGTGTTTTGGTAATCACTACTTGGGCCTCGGTCACAACAAAACCAAAGCAGACAGACACCCCCCACCCCCACCCTTGAACTCTTACCACACATTGGACTGTAGCGTGGGGGAATCGTTCTGGGCGATGTGATATAAGGCACTCATTGCGTTCATATTGAAGAGGGGTGGTTTCCGTTCCGCTGTATGGAAAAACAGAGAAGGGGGAGAAAAAAAAAAAAACGAGGTACGATGGAATCACTGGGCGACTCTGGCCGGCTTACAAACCGTAGGAAGATTACAGATTAACAGAGGTGGAAGGGACCTTGTAGGTCATTTAGTCCAACACACACACACCCCGCCACCTAAGCAGGAGACCCTACGCCCGTGATGGCGAACCTATGGCATGCGTGCCACAGCTGGCACGTGGAGCCATATTGGTGGGCACGCGAGCATTGACCTAGCTCAGCTGCAGCGCACATGCACGCGCAGGCCAACTGGTTTTCAGACCTTCTGGGCCCACCAGAAGTTGGGAAACAAGCTGTTTCCGGCCTCTGGAGGGTCTCCGTGAGGGGGTAAGGAAGGCCCATTTTTCGCCCTCCCCAGGCTCCAGAGGCTTTCTAGGAGCCTGGGGAGGGCGAAAACAGCCTTCCCCACCACCCCAGAGGCCAGAAGCAGCCCGTTTGCCGACTTCCGGTGAGACCAGAAGGCCTGTTTTTCACTCTCTCCAGGCTCCAGAGACTTTCTAAGAACCTGGAGAGGGTGAAAACGGCCTTCCCCACCCTGGAGGCCGGAAATGGCCTGGGGCACATTGAATTATGGGTGTGGGCACACAAACGTGTGACCCCTCCACTTCCCCCCTTCATTAGAAAAAATATGTGTGTGTGTGTATAGATAGATAGATAGATAGATAGATAGATAGATAGATAGATAGATATAGATATAGATATAGATATAGATATAGATATAAATATAAATATAGATATAGATATGATCAATTATGGATAAGAGAATGTACATTTACAATATGTGTATAAGAAATAAAAATAAAAAACTTTTTTCAAAACAAAAAACAACAAAAACCAGAATTAGCCAGACTTATTGCATTAAATCCAACAAGTTGTAAACGCCGGTTGACTTACCTAACTCGATGCAGGTAATTCCCAGCGACCAAACGTCGACTTTCCCGTCGTACTGCCCATCGTCCATAGCCAAGATTACTTCTGGAGCCATCCTACCGTACATGAATTCCAAGAGTGAAGGTTACGGGATGTCAGTAACAAAAAAAAAAAAAAAAAAAGAAAGAAAGAAAGAAAGAAAAAGGAAGGGGAAAAAAAAGGAAAAAAAGGCACAGCACTGCAACAGATGCACTCACCCCGCCCCTCTTCAAAGTCGTCCCCATCCTGCCCCCCCGATCAACTCAAAAAGAATAAAATCAGCATGGAACAGAATTAAGCCATGCTGGGGAGGTTTTTTTTAAAAAAATAAAAATAAAATAAAATACCGTATTTTTTGGAGTATAAGACGCACCTTCCCCCCCCCTAAAAGGGGATGAAAATTTAGATGCGTCTTATACACCGAATGTAGCCCTGCCCACCCACTGGCCCCCACCCTTTGGCCTCTGCCTCGCAGCAGCTTACCTCCTTGCAAGCAAACAGCAAGAAAAAAAAACAGCTCCTTTCAGGTTCAGCCCAGCCTGATTAGCACAAGTTGATTGGATCGGCCTCCCGACACTCAGCTCTTTTGCTCTCAGCAGTTTTGCTCTCAGCTGTTTTGCGTGGGCCTCTGCTGCTGGCTGCAAGGAGGTAAATTGCTGGCAGTAGATATTTTTTTTCTCCTTGTGCTAATCAAGCTATGCTGAAAACGAAAATGAAAGTAAAGCAGGCTGTTTGCTGCAAGGAGGCAAAATTGCTCAGAGGCAGAGACAGGGAGATTTCTTTTTCTTCTTTTCCTCACCAAAACAGGTAGGTGCGTCTTATACTCCGAAAAATACGGTAATAACCACTGTCGTCGTCCATCGTACTCGCCTCCTTTTAAGCCAAGAATTCCTTCTGGGGGGGAAGGGGGGGGGTGGGGGGGGGGGATTGTTAAGGGTGTAGGGAGAATGAAAAAAAAAAAAAAAGGGTTTTTTTTTTTTTGGTTTTTTTTCATGATCCATCTCAGTGCAACATGCTGGCAAACGGGCAGCCGGCACTCAGCCCATTGGCACTGTACCTGGATCCAGCCAAGCAGGGCCTGAAAACGCTCCTAAGGCACCACTTCTCACCAGATACGGTGAGTTTTCCCACTGACACACCAACAGTGATTTCTCGGAGATGTTCAGCCTGGGATTGCAGCTATGAAAGAAATAAGGGGGATCTGGAACACAGAAGGGAAAAGGGGAAGGGGGGGGGAGTGGGGGAGAAGGCAGGGTCGCAAGGCAAACACAGCAGGGAAACCCACACGCTACAAGCATGTTTACGGGGGGGGGGGGGGGGAGGTGGAGGGGGGGGGGGGGGCACCCACCCGCGGGGGGATGGGGGAGGGGCGACGGGGGGGGGGGGGGGGGGGGGGGTTGACTTGGAAGAGGGGAAGGGACCAACGCTCAGATGCAATTGGCTGGGTCCTCCTCACCTGAAGCTAAACTCCTGCAGGTAGTCCTTGAGTTACAGAGAGACCATGGACGTTGTTCAAAACAAAAGAGCCTTGGTAGTACAGTGGTCTAAAGCACCCTGTTATTAAGACCAGCTGCCTGCAATTACTGCAGGTTCGAATCTCGCCAGGCTCAAAGTTGACTCAACCTTCCATCCTTTCTAAGGTAGGTGAAATGAGGACCCAGTTTGTGGGGGCAATAAGCTGACTTTGTATAAATATACAAAAGGATGAAGGCTATTGCTTAGCGCATTGTAAGCCGCCCTAAGTCTCCGGAGAAGGGCGGCATATAAATCAAATAAAAAAAAAAAAAACCCTACAAGTGGCCCTTGACTTACAGAAAGACCGCGGACGCTGTTCGAGACATATGGAAAGCCATACAGGTGATCCTTGACTTACAGAAAGACCACGGTCGCTGTTCGAGACCTATGGTAAGTCCTTGACTTACAAAGTTCATTTAGGGACCGTTCCAATTTACAACAGCACACACACACAAAAAAAATGGGAACTCAGGAATGGTTTTCACCCCTTACGACCGTTGTAGCCTCCCCCCTGGTCACACGATCAAAAACCACCCCCCCCCCCCCCCCCGGCAACTGGCTCATATTTATGACACAAGCTGCACTGTCCCGGAGAGTCACGACGTGGCCTTTTGCAGCTTTCCGACCACCACAGTCAATGGGGAAGCCAGATTCACTTTAACTACCTGTTACCGACTTCACAACGGCAGAGATTCGCTTAACAGCGGTGGCCAGAAGAGTTGTAACCTGGGGTAAAATTCACGTGACAAATGTCTCATTGAGCAACAGAAACGTTGGGCTCGAGTGTGGTCGTACACCGAGGACTACCGTATTTTTCGGCGCATAAGACGCACCGGACTACCTACCTGAGGAAAACAAGGAAAAGAAATCTGCCTCTGCCTCCCAGCAATTTTGCCTCGTTGCAGCAAACAGCAAACAGCCTGCTTTACTTTCATTTTCGTTTTCAGCATAGCTTGATTAGCACAAGAAAAAAAAAAATCTGCTCCCAGCAATTTACCTGCTTGCAGCAAGCAGCAGAGCCCTGCGCAAAACAGCTGAGAGCAAAACAGCTGAGAGTCGGGAGGCCGATCCAATCAACTTGTGATAATCAGGCTGTGCTGAAGCTGAAACGGGCTATTTCTTCTTGCTGTTTGCTGCAAGGAGGTAAACTGCTGGGAGGCAGAGGGAGGCCAAAGAGTGGGGGCCAGTGGGTGGGCAGGGCTACATTCGGTGTATAAGACAGATCTAAATTTTCACTCCCTTTTAGGGGGGAAAAAGGTGCACCTTATACTCCAAAAAATACAGTACGTATGGGCATCTAAGACGGGCAGCTGCAGACAGTCCACAACTTACAACTGAAATTGCGGTTGAAAAACTGGCTGGAGTAGGGTCAATTTATCCGTTTTAGCTGTAAAGCTTACTACAGGTAGTTCTCAATTTACAACATATTCCTTTAGTGATCGTCCAAAGTTATAACAGCACTGAAAAAAAAGTGACTTATGATCAGTTTTCACACTTAATAGCATTTCCAGTGGTCATGTGACCAAACTCTGAACGCTTAACTGACTCATATTTATGACTGTTGCAGAGTGATCCCCTTTCATGACCTTCTCACAAGCCAATGGAGAAACCAGGTTCGCTTAACAACCGGGCGACTAGCTTAACAACTACAGGGATTCACTTAACAAAAAATGGCAAGAAAGCAGGGGTGAAATCCAGCAGGTTCTGGCGAACTGGTAGCGGAAATTGTGAGCAGTTCGGAGAACCGGAAAATACCACCTCTGGCTGGCCCCAGAGTGGGATGGGAATGGAGATTTTGCAATATCCTTCCCCCAGGAGTGGAGAGGGAATGGGGACTTTGCAGTATCCTTCCCCTGAAGTGGGGAGGGAAATGGAGATTTTGCAGTATTATTTCCCTGGAGTGGGGAGGAAATGGGGATTTTGCAGTATCCTTTCCCTGGATACTGGAGTGGGGAGGGAATGGAGATTTTGCAGTACCCTTCCCCTGCCATGCCCACCAAGCCACGCCCACCAAGCCACACCCATAGAACCGGTAAAAAAAAAATTGAATTTCACCACTGCAAGAAAGGTCATAAAATTTAGGGGCAACATTCACTTAAAACAATTCTCTTCCGGAACAACGGGAAATTTCGGGCTCGACCGTGGTCGTAAGTCGAGGACTACCTGTCTACAAATCAAATCAATCAGCCAACCTACCAACCAACTAACCTATGAGCAACTGAGATTGGGGCGGAGGGGGTGGGGGGAAGGGGCTATATAAATCAAATCAACAATTTACACGGATAACCCAATCAACCAATCAGTGGGCTTCTAGAAGGTGCCATGCATTGGAAGCTCACACCAAAATGACACAAACAGAATGTGCACAAGAACATAGTGACTGAAGAGGCTTGGGTGGGACGTATCGATAGGCAACTGGGCTAGATGCCGACAAGGGATGCAGGCCCTCCAAAGTATACGGATTATAAAAATGATAAAAGGGGGGGGGGGGGAGCCTCCAAACTTGGTAACTTCTGGACTTCAACTCCCAGAATTCCCCAGCCAGGCAATTCAATTCTTCGGTTTTTGGCGTTGCAAGTCTCACAATGTCTTAAAAGTTGCCAAGTTTGGAGATTCTTGGAGTAGAGCCAGGGGTGTCAAACTCAAGGTCCCGGGGGGCTAGATCTGGCCCACGGGATGCTTAGATACGGTTGTCCTGGAAACAGGGAAGGACCGGCCTGCGGTACCTCTGCCAGTGAAAACGGAGCTCGGGAGGGCTGTGCGCGGCCCTCCCAGGTTCCATTTTCAGCTGGGACGGCCTCCTGCAGCCCTCTGCCAGCGAAAACAGAGCTCCGTTTTCGCTGGCGGAAGGCTGCAGGAGGCCGTCCCAACTGAAAACCGGCCCTGTGAGCTCCGTTTTTGCTGGAAGAGGGCTGCAGGAAGTCGTCCTAGGTGCAAACAGGGCTGTGAGCTCTGTTTTTGTTGGCAGAGGGCTGCAGGAAGCTGTCCCAGCTGAAAACAGGGCCTGTGAGCTCCGTTTTTGCTGACAGAGGGCTGCAGGAGGCCGTCCTGGCTGAAAACAGGGCCTGTGAGCTCCATTTTTGCTGGCAGAGGGCTGCAGGAGGTCGTCCTAGCTGAAAACAGGGCTGTGAGCTCTGTTTTTGTTGGCAGAGGGCTACAGGAGGCCGTCCTGGCTGAAAACAGGGCCTGTGAGCTCCATTTTTGCTGGCAGAGGGCTGCAGGAGGTTGTCTTAGCTGAAAATGGGGCCCGTGAGCTCCATTTTTGCTGGTAGAGGGCCACACTCACCCCATCTCGGCCACGCCCCCCTCCAGCCTCCCGAGGTCAAACGCAACCCTGATGCGGCCCTCAATGAAATTGAGTTTGATACCCCTGGAGTTGAGAATTCGTACTACCCATATATTCCCCGATAGTTGCCAGACTACCAGCCCTGTCTCTGAATATTTACTCTCTGAAATATTTGCTCTTTTTCCACGACGCCTGCCTGGTGCCACCAAAAGGGGCACTTATTTGCATCGTAGATTGGTTTTAGTTATTTAGCCTGTTTTTGGGAGGGCGGGGGATAAAAAAAATCATGGTAAGTGGCTTCACATGTTCCACCTTTCAGCATCCAGTGTGCCAGGATGGTAGAATGTGCCACGTTTACATACAGATTCTTGATTTAGAACAGGTTGGCAACTTTAAGACTTGTGGACTTCAACTCCCAGAATTCCACAACTGGCTGGCTGGGGAATTCTGGGAGTTGAAGTCCACAAGTCTGAAAGTTGAATTCTGGGAGTTGAAGTCCACAATTCTTAAAAGTTGAATTATGGGAGTTGAAGTCAGTAACTCTTAAAGTTGAATTATGGGAGTTGAAGACAGTAATTCTTAGTTGAATTATGGGAGTTGAAGTCCACAACTCTTAAAAGTTGAATTATGGGAGCTGAAGTCAGTAACTCTTCAAGTTGAATTCTGGGAGTTGAAGTCCACAACTCTTATCGTTACCAAGTTGGGAGGCCCCTGATCTAGGACAAGGTTTTCCAAACTTCGCCATTTGCAGACCTGTGAATGTCAACTCCCAGAGTTCTCTGGAACAGCCACGATGACTGAAGAATTCTGGGAGTTGGAGTCCACATCCACGGAAGGTGGGAAATGCAGATTTTTTTTTTTTTTGAAGGTCAGGATTGTATTTTAAAGCAAAACGGATGTTTTAGTTCCCCCATTTGTTCAGCATCTTTTGAAAGGCTGCAGGAAAAGTGCACCTCGGCTTCACTTACCAGTAAGGTGTTCCCACGAAAGAATTGGCAGGAGAGGCTATAGAAGCAGAGCCGAAGTCCGCTAGTTTCACTTGGCCCAGTTCTGTTAGAAGAATATTTCCTGCTTTAATATCCCTGCAAGAAAAAAAAAAGGAGTTGTTTACCGCAGGTAGTTCTTGACATACAACAGTTCGGTTAGCAACCATTCAAAGTTAGAAAGGCACTGAAAAAAGGGACTTAGGACCATATTGTCGGAGCCTGAATCTGTGGGGGAAGCTGGAACCCGAGCCAACAGAAATTAAGGCGGCGGCTTCATTGGCTTTGGAGGAAAATGGGGAAGGGCAGGGCCTTTCAGGATTACGACAGCTTGTAGGCAGGGAGGAACAGGGTTAGGATGAACATGAGAGAGAGAGAGCTCAGGCGATGAGCAAGGACCACTCCCTCCTGATCCGAGAGCATGGAGAGTGGAGAGAAGGCAAGAACAGCGCAGGCTGACCTGACTATTTGGGAGAAGAGCGCCCAATCTCTCTTCACAAGGCACACCTGGGGAATGAGACTTAAGGAGATGCTGTGGGGAGGGGCATTTGTCGGGAACAAACGCTGAGTTCCTGCAGTGTTGTGTCCCGACGTTTGAACTTTCCAAGAGTCCTTGCATTTTTTTCTGGCTTTCTGGACTAATTACCTGTATCCTTTGCTTCCTGAACTTCTTGATTTGCCCTGCTGGATTTATTGCTGTGCAGCTTTAGTGTACACAACACCAGCTGGGCTGGAGTATTTGCAGCCAGAGGCTGCTTGAGGTGTGTGTGGCGGGGTTTGTCATCACTTTGCTCTGGGACTGGTTAGAAACATGGTAGCATTTGGGGAAATCTGGAGCAATAAAGGGGCAGTCTGAATGGCCAGCTGCCTGTGTTACCTCTGTGCCATGCCCTGGGTCATCACGCATTGTTTAGAGTTACGACCTTTCCAGCATCCCCCGTAATCACAAGATCAAAATTCAGATGCTTGGCCACTGGTTCGTATTTTATGACGGTTGCGGTGTTCCGGGGTCACGTGATTCTCCTTTTGCGACCTTCTGACAAGCCAAGTCAATGGGGAAGCCGGATTCACTTAACTTACTAACTTAACAACTGCAGTTGTTAAGATAAGAGATTGAGATAAGAGTCCCTTGGCCAGGTTCACTCAAACAATTGTGTCAAGTAAGGTCGTAAAATGAGACAAAACTCCCTTAACAAATTCTCACGTGGCCACAAAAAAATTTGGGCTCAATTGTGGGTCGTAAGACGAGGGCTACCTGTTGCACTCACACATCTGGAAGAAGGTAGATGGCAGGAGGCAGGGAGGAAACCAACGCCGAGAAATGATAAACCAGAGAAGGAACCTCGGCTCTCACCTGTGAATTTTATAATGTGAATGAAGATATGCCAATCCCTGCAAGGCACCGTCGGTAATGGCAGCGATCTCTACTTCCTGGAGTGGCTTTTTATGTACTGGATTGGAAGAAAAAGCAGATTTTAGTCTCACCCGGAGCAACTTTTAAGATGTGTGGACAAGGTTGAATAAAGGCGGATTCGCTCCTTTCAATGGCACAGAAAGTTTAAAAGTGGGGCTAATGAAGGATCCGTCACAAACTGGCCTAGAGAGAAGAATGAAGTAAGGCTCGAAACTGGGAGGCCGTGAGTTCTAGTCCCTCCTTAGGCATGAAAGCCGGATGGGTGGCTTTGGGCCAATCACCAGGAGACAGTGAGTTCTAGTCCCTCCTTAGGCACGAAAGCCAGCTGTGTGATTTTGGGCCAATCACCAGGAGATGGTGAGTTCTAGTCTTGCCTTAGCCATGAAAGCTGGCTGTGTGACTTTGGGCCAATCACCAGGATGACTGTGAGTTCTAGTCTCGTCTTAGGCGTGAGAGTCTGCTGGGTGACTTTGGACCACTCATTCTTTCTCAGCCCAAACCACAGGGTTGTTATTGTGGGGAAAATAGGAGGAGGAAGGAATATTAGAAATGCTTGCCACCTTCGGTTATTTATAGAAAATAATAAAGGCAGGAAATAAATAAAATAGAATAGAATAGAATAGAATAGAATAGAATAGAATAGAATAGAATAGAATAGAATAGAATAGAATAGAATAGAATAGAATAGAATAGAATAGAATAGAATAAAAAAATAAAATAATAAAATAAAATAAAATAAAATAAAATAAAATAAAATAATGAAAGGAAAGGAAATAAAATAATAAAGTGAAATAAAATAAAATAAAATACATACACATGTACATACACACAAACACACATAGTCTTGGGTTATTTATAAAAATAATAAAGGCAGGAAATAAATAAAATAAATAAAATAAAATAGAACTAAGGAGAAACTTCCTGACAGTTAGAACAATTAATCAGTGGAACTCCTTGCCTCCAGAAGTTGTGGATGCTCCAATACTGGAAGTTTTTAAGAAGAGGTGGGATAACCATTTGTCTGAAGTGGTGTAGGGTTTCCTGCCTAAGCAGGGGGTTGGACTAGAAGACCTCCAAGGTCCCTTCCAATGTATTGTGTTGTGTTATGTTGTATTGTATTGTATATGTAATTGTACTGTAGTATTGTATTGTATTGTATAATAAAATAAAATAAAATAAAATAATGAAATAAATAAAATAAAATAAAATAAAATAAAATAAAATAAAATAAAATAAAATAAAATATATACACATGTATATGCACACAGACACACAATCTTGGGTTATTTGTAAAAATAATAAAAGCAGGAAATAATATAATAAAATAAAATTAAATTAAAATAAAATAAAATAATAAAATAAAATAAAATTAAATTAAATTAAAAATAAAATAAAATAATAAAATAAAATAAAATAAAATAAAATAAAATAAAATAAAAATAAAATAAAAATAAAATAAAATAAAATAAAATAAAATAAAATAAAATAAAATAAAATAAAATAAAATAAAAACACATATACACACGCGATTTAGATTTGTAACCAACCAGCACTTAAAATGTAAACTGGAAAAATATATATATATTTTTTTAGTTTTTCTCCTGACCAAAGAGCCCACCCTCTCCATATCTCATTCTTCTGGTTAACTACTCTGGGAATAAGAGCGTGGGAAAGGACCACGGAGAATTTGTCCTAGTGCCACCGAAGAAAAAAAAAAAGACAGACCCTTCTTTTCAGCTTCTTAAATAAAGATATCGTGCAAGGAAACGATCTTGGATGAGAGTGTCTCTTGGCCAAATCTGTCAGCCTCGGTTGCCAACGACGGAAAGAAAACACAGCCGGATCCAGGAGGATGGAAATTGGCAACGGACGGTTAGAAAAAGACTTGGAAACGTGCTCCGGACCTACCCCGCTCTCTCTCGTCGTTCCGAGCCATCATCCAACCCGAAACAGGGAAAGATGGAAACCAGACCCCCCCATGCCATTACCGTACTTTTCGGAGTATAAGACGCACTTTTTTGCCCCCTAAAAGAGGGTGGAAACGTTGGTGAGACTTATACACCGAATGCGGCCATTTTTGGCCTCCCGAAAACTCGCCCCACGCATCCAGTTTTCGGCAAAAACGGGCCCATTTTTCAAAAAAACGGGATGCGCAGAGGAGTTTGGGAGGCCAGCAGAGTGCCCCTGGGGGCTGGGGAGGCCAAAAACGGGCCCATTTTTTTGCGAAAATAGGCCCGTTTCTGGTCTCCAAAAATACCCACGCATCGCGTTTTTGCCCTCCCCAACCCCCAGGAGCACTCTGCAGGCCTCCCAAACCCTCTGCGCATCCTGTTTTTGCGAAAAACGGGCCTGTTTTTGGCAAAAACTGGATGTCAAGTTGCAAAGCTTTCAAGTTGCCATGAGCAGGAGAGAGGGATTAATTAGGGCATCTTCCGGAAACTTCACACTGGACACACAGGGGGTTGGGAGGCCTGCAGAGTGCTCCTGGGGGCCGGGGAGGGCAAAAACAGGACGTGTGGAGAGCAAAAACCTTTTTTTTCCCCTTGTTTTCCTCTTCGAAATCTTGATGCGACTTATACTCCAGTGCGTCTTATATTCCAAAAAATACGGTAATTCAGACGTTAAGTTGACTGCCTGGAAATTTCCAAGCTTAGACAGTCAGCGGAATGGAAATTCAGTGCGTAGGACAGAAACCGCCCAACGGCTAGAGAGGAAAAGATTTGGCGGTCGCTGTAAGGAGCTGCAACGGGCCTAAGAAATGCTGCCGTGGAATGTAATTCCCTAAAAACCTGAATCATGTGGCCTAAAAGACACTGTGGGAAATAAAGAAGGCTTACCTTCCAACAGATCTGAAGCAGATCCCAGGCAGTATTCCATCACTAGCTGTGAAAAGATGGAAAGAAATGGAGCCGTTAAGGAAGGGTTGGAGCCCTTGGGGGTGTCTGAGCTTACTTGCAGACGTTTCATTACCCAACTAGGTAACATAATCAATGCTAGAAGGGAGTGGGGTTTGCGAGGAGGAGGAGAAGGGAAGGAGCAGGAGGAGGAGGAGGAGGAAGAGGACTATGGGGTCCTTGGTGCTCTCTGAAACATCTGCTTGTTTTCTGGCAGATGTTTCATTACCCAACTAGGTAACATGATCAATGCTAGAAGGGAGTGGAATTTATGAGGAGGAGGAGGAGGAGGAAGAGGACTGTGGGGTCCTTGGTGCTCTCTGAAACATCTGCTTGTTTTCTTGCAAACGTTTCTTTACCCAACTAGGTAATATAATCAATGCTAGAATGGAGCGGGGTTTGTGGAGAGGAGGAGGAGGAGGAGGAGGAGGAGGAGGAGAGGAAGGAGGAGGAGGAGGAGAAGGAGAAGGAGAGGAGGAAGAAGAGAAAGGAGAAGGAGGAGAAGAAGAAGAGAAGGAAGAAGAGGAGGAGAAGGAGGAGAAGGAGGAGAGGGAAGGAAGAGAAGAGGAAAGGAGGAGAGAAGAAGGAGAGGAGAGGAAGAAAGAGAGGAGGAGGAGGAAAGAGGGAAGGAGGAGAAGAAGGAGGAGGGAGGAGGAGGAGGAGGAGGAGGAGGAGGGAGAGGGAGGAGGAGGAGAGGAGGAGGGAAGAGAGGAGGAGGAGGAAGAGGAGAGAGAGGAGGAGGAGGAGGAGGGGAGGCGGAGGAGGAAAGGAGGAGGAGGGAGAAGGAGGAAAGAGGGAGAGGAGGAGGAGGAGGGAGAGGAGGAGGAGAAGAAGAAGAGGGGAGAGGGAGGAGAAGGAGGAGAGGAGGAGGAGGAGAAGGAGGAGGAGAGAGAAGAAGGAAGAGGAGAAGGAGGAGGAGGAGAAGAAGAAGGAGAAGAGAAGGAGGAGAGGAGGGGAGAGGGAGGAGGAGGAGGAGGAGGAGGAGGAGTTCTTCGGGAGAGGAGCGACTTCTTCGCCTGCGGAGGAGGAGGAGGAGGGGGGGGGACATCTTCCCCTGCCTCAATCGACGCTTCCGCAACATTTGCTATAGTCGTCGTGTTGGTGACCCCCCTCCATGAGCATCATCTTGCGAGGCAACAATGAAAGCGGTGGATGCTCCATCACTGGAGGCTTTCAAGGAGAGGCTGGACAGCCATTGGTCTGAAACCATAGAGACTCTCCTGCTCGATGAGGGAGACGGACGAGATGACCTCCAGGTGCCCTTCCAACTCTTGTTATTATTCTATTCTATTCTGCGGGGCGGGGCGATGCGATGCGATGTGAAGGCACAGCCCTTAATATATCATCTGGGTCAGGGGTCAGCAACCTGCGGCTCTGGAGCCGCATGTGGCTCTTTCACCCCTCTGCTGCGGCTTCCGTCACTCAAACTATGTGTCATAACCGCCAATGTGCACACACCCAGCATGTGATTTATTGAGCTTTCCACCCCCGGTAGGCCAACCATGGATAAATCCAAGAAAAGAAAAGTTTCAGAAGAAAACAGGACGTTTAATATTCAACTACAGATGCTAGTTTTGTGGCCGCTCAAGAAATAGTCAGGCCCGGGAAGGGTTTTGTGGCTCCCGGTGTTTTCTTTTCTGTGGGAAACGGGTCCAAATGACTCTTTTGAGTGTTTAAGATTGCAGACTCCTGATCTGGGTATATCATTAGTACTGCAGCTTAAAACGATAACGTCAAAACAGGAATCGTGTCTCCGTTTTGGTAAGGTTGGTTTTTGTTTTTTTTCTCCAAAGAACGAAAGATCTAGCCCAGAGGTCTGCAACCTTAAACACACAAAGAGCCATTTGGACCCGTTTCCCACAGAAAAGAAAAAACCGGGAGCCACAAAAACCCTTCTTGCGCCTGACGATTTCTTTGACCGGCCACAAAACTACGTAGTCGAATTAAACGTTCTGTTTTCTTCTGAAACTTTTCTTTTCTTGGATTTATCCATGGTTGGCCTACCGGGTTAAATCAATCAATCAATCAATCAATCAAATAATAAACTTACGGAACCGCCTACTACCACAAAACAGCCTCCCACCCGGCTGGTACGCTCTCATAGAGAGGGGCTCCTCCGGGTGCTGTCAGCTAAACAATGTCGACTGGCGACCCCCAGGGGAAGGGCCTTCTCTGTGGGGGCACCTACTATCTGGAACGAGCTCCCCCTGGAAATACAGAGGATCCCGGATCTGCGCACCTTCCGCCGTGCTTTGAAGACACTCCTATTCCAGCAGGCCGGCCTGGCCTAATTTTCTCCGCATCTTTTAAAACTTTAAATTGAAATTTTAATTTGTTTTAAATTATTGGGAATTTTAATTGTCTCGGGCAAAATTATTTAATTTGGTTTTAATTATGTTTTTTTAACTTTTGTATTTATGTGTTTTATTTTGTGCCTGTTCACTGCCCTGAGTCCTTCGGGAGTAGGGCGGTATACAAATTTAATAAAATGAAAATGAAAATGAAATGAATAAATTCAATAAATCACGTGCCGGCAGGTGTCGCACACTGGCGACTTGTGACGCATATTTTGAGCGGCAAGGAGCCGCAGCAGAGGGGTGAAAGAGCCACATGCGGCTCCAGAGCTCCTGATCTAGCCTCATGCTTCGGTCCCTTCTAAGAAACCATCCTTGCTCAAAACATCTCAAAGAACCTCTGGCGGAGAACGCAACTCACCCAGGCGGTATGTTCTTTCAAATAGCAGCCTTTGTACTCGATGGTGTTGGGGTGCTTTAGCTGTTGGAGAAATCGGACCTCTTTGATGATATCCTGCCATTTCTGTTCATTTCAAGGGAGGGGAGGGGAGAAGAAGGGAAAAAAAAGAAAAAGGAAAGGAAGTTTAACATCAAGATTCGCTCGATCGGGAAAATTCCAAAGATGAACCAACTGGGAAAGGGTAGAGGTCAAAGGGCTTGGTCTTCTGTATTTTTGTTCACGATGATATGACAAGGAATGACTCGGAAGTGACATCTTTCAGGTTACGAAAGATTAGGAGGGAATGTTAATTATTCCTTATCTCTTTAAGATAATAAAAGACCGAAGGGCACTTATTCAAGGCTAAGAGTTTGCCCAGGGAGCTCAGAATAAATTGTGCAATGCTTTACAGCTGGGAGGAAAAGAGAAAATAAAACGGAAGTCACCTCTCGTGAGAAGGGTAACACACAAAATCGATAAATGAATGAAATAAAATAAACACACACACTGCCTTAAGAGTACAGTTACTCCTCAAGTTAGGACCGCAATTGAGGCCATAGTTCCGTGATGGCGAACCTATGGCACGGGTGCCAGAGGTGGTGCGCCAGCCAGCTGGTTTTCGCAGGCACTGGAGTGCCGGAAAACGGCCAGAAAACAGTCGGGAAAACGGCCTGAAAACAGCCAGAAAAACGCCCAAAAACCAGGCTGTTTTCAGGCCGTTTTTTTTTTGCCTAAAAAACAGCTCGAAAACGGCCTGAAAAATGCCCCCCAAAAAAAACAGGTATGCATGTGCTGGCCAGCTGATCTTTGGGTTTTTCCGGGGCTTTCAAGTGGCAGTTGGAACAGAGTTCTTTTCAGGTGGGGATGGGGGTAGAATGTCTTAACTCCTTAGCATCAGCGTGTGTTAATAATACTGTATGAAATACGAATGATCTGATGGTCATTTCGAAAAAACCATTTCTTAACGAGCACCTAGAAGCCAAGAGGAACATACGTGCCAAATTTCAAGTTGTAGACTTTTCGGTTCGGGAGATTTCATGACGATGCGTGAGTGGTATTTCGCTTTTATATCTATAGATATATATTTTAATGACTTCCTTTTTCGATAGTGGCAGCAAATAATAATATCCATCTTTAGAGCATTGGTGTGTTGCCCAGGTCGAGACGTCAAATATGTTCTTCTTACCCTCGTTAGTTTGTTTTCCGCTGCTAAGACATTTTCTTGATCGCCACCACTTCGTTGGTGCGGGCATTGGTGGCCTGGAAATGGAAGAAGAAGGGAGGGGGAAGAAATTAAATTTAATAAAGGCTCTCGTTTCTTTCCAAAGGTGCTTTTTTTTTTTCCAGGAGGCAACTGGACTTTCTTGGGGTTTTTTCCTCGAAGACGTTTCGCTTCTCATCCAAGAAGCTTCTTCAGCTCTGACCAGATGGTGGGGAAGGGAAGGATTGATACTCCTTGCAGACAGCTGGTCATTTGCATCCTTTTTAGAGAGTTGTTGAGGCCATTTGGAGAGCTTTATCTGTGTCCTCAGGGTCACCTGAGTGGTGCAAATGATTCCTGTAGTCTGCCATTTTTTTCTTTCTGGAAATCTGTTCATACTCCTATGCCAGAGGTGGGTTTCAGCAGGATCTGACCAGTTCTGGAGAACCGGTACCGGGAAATTTTGAGTAGTTCAGAGAACCGGTAGTAAAAATTCTGACTGGCCCCACCCCCCATCTATTCTCCGCCTCCTGGGTCCCAGTTGATCAGAGGAAATGGGGATTTTGCAGTATCCTTCCCCTGGAGTGGGGAGGAAATGGGGATTTTGCAGTATCCTTCCCCTGCCACGCCCCCAAGCCACGCCCACCAAGCCACGCCCACAGAACCGGTAGTAAAAAAATATTGAAACCCACCACTGTCCCACATCATTTGAAGGGGGTTCATCCCAAACTGGATAGCTAAAAGTTTATAGAGATTCTCAGTCATCCAGGGTCAACCATTGATCAAGGTTTGATTCCACCCTGAAGGAATCAGCAGACAACTTGAATTAAGAATTCATTCATTCATTCAGTTCTGAAGGAATATTGGTTGGAAGTCTTCAAGAACTACAATGATCTTGATCAAGAAATTGGCCTGCTTAGTCTTCCCATTTCTAGGTGCCAGGTGCTCAAAATGAATTCTCTCAAGGGATGAAAAATTCCAGGATTATTATTATTATTATTATTATTATTTGTCGATGCATGAATGAAATTTTGCCTTTAAATCAACTATCGCTGCTATTTATCGTCTTAGGAAGAATCTTCCTTAAACAGTATACTCTTCGGAGGAGGATTCTCGAAGTTCACAGATCTAGAAGCCATTCCGGTTGGAGGAGGAGATAACAGACCGGTGTTTTTTCTCAACCCTGGCAACCTGAAGAGAGGTGGACTTCAATTCCCAAAATGCTGAAGCCCACACTGCTTCATGCTGCCAAGGTTGAGAAACACTGTCCTATACCAATATTGCTGAATTGGGTTTGGAGAGCGGAGATATGGACTACAAATAAATGCTAGAGAGGTGAGGGGGAGAGGGATAGGAGGAGAGAGGGGGGGGAGAGACAGAAAGAGACAGAGACAGAAAGGAAGACATGGAGAGGGAGAGAGAAGGAATTAGAGAGGAGGAGGAAGAGAAGGAGAGGGGAGGGAGAAGGGAAGAGACAGAGGGGGAAAGAAGGAGAGATGGAGAGGAAGAGAGGAAAAGAGGGAGTGAAGGAGAGAGGGAGGGAGGGAGGGAGGACAGGAGGAGAGAGAAACAGAGAGTGGAAGAGATGGAGAGGGAGAGAGGAGGGAGAGGAGGAGAGAGAGTGGGGGAGAGGAAGAGAGGAAAAGACAGAGGGGGAAAGGAAGGAGAGATGGAGAGGAAGAGGAAAAAGGGGTGTGGTGAAGAGAGGGAGGGAGGAAGAGAGGAGAGAGGGAAGGGAGAGGGGGAGAGACAGAGGGGGGAAGAAGAGAGGGAGAGAAGAGGAAGAGAGAGAGGAGAGAGAGGGAGAGAGGGAGGAGGGGGGGAGGGGGGAAGGGGAGGAGAGGAGAGAGAGGGAGAGAGAGAAAGGGAGAGAGAGAAGAGGGGAGAGAGGAGAAGAGAGAGAAAGTGAGGAGTGAGGAGCAGATGGAGCATGGGGGAGAGGGAGAGGAGGAGGAGGAGGAGGAGGGAGGATGGGAGAGGGGGAGAGAGAGGAAGGGGGAGAGAGGGAAAGGGGGAGGGATGGGGGGGTGGGGGGAGGGGAGAGAGAGGAGAGAGAGAACGGAAAGCAAGCACAACTACTTAAAAATAACCCGCCCAAAACTTCCATGCCCGATTTCATGTAAACCCACAAAAGCTCCCTGAGGATCATCTTTGTAGAAGAGCTCGGCGATATCCGGATCCTTGGGCGCCCCTTTACGCATGTTGGGACAGAATCAGGACCTCGCCCACACTTCAAAATCCAAGGCGGTTTCTTCCTTCATTGACGGTGCGATTTTCAAGGGCTTCAGAGCCTTCCAGGGTGGGAAAAAAAACAAACAAACCCCCAAAATGATTAACCCAAGTTTTCTCTCTCTCGGCACATTGAGATTATATCTGCTGAATATAACTCCGTACTGGCGACAGGGAAGGGCATCCGGCCAGTAAACACTCAGCTCCATTCAGTTGCCCAGGTTCCACCCCGCAAGGGACTATGGGCTCATTCAAAGATGACGATAGTGACCGGGCGAAGTTACAACAGCACTGGGGGGAAAAAGGGACTTATGACCGTTTTTCACGTTTATGACCGTTGCAGCATCCCTCACAGGATAAAAATGGCAAACTTGGCAAACACTGACTCCTATTTATGACGGTTGAAGCGTCCTCGGGGTCACGTGCTTCCCTTTTATGATCTTCTGACAAAGCAAAGTCAAGGGGGAAGCCAGGTTCACTTTAACAACCGTGTGACTGACTTAACAACTGCAGTGATTCACTTAACAACCATGGCCAGAAAAGTTGTAAGAAGGGGGCTGAACTCCCTTAGCAACATAAATGTTGGGCTTATAAATGTTTTTATGTCGCTATCTCCCCTACAAGGTAACTCTGGGCAGCTTATAAAAGAAGTAAAAAATAATTAAAGTATATATTCAAACATTAAATGGATGGCCAATTAGAAAAAAAAGCCACGGAAGATTGTTTTTATCTATGATTACAGTTCCGAGACTCTTTATATGTCCCAAAATGGAAAAGACTCTGAAATACTCACAATGGAAGAATGGTTGCTGAAGATGTCAAAACTGGCAGGGATGACAAAAATTGACTTGATTAGAGAAAAATCAACAACTTCATTTATCAGGGCATGGAAACTTCTTTTGCTAAAAGAGAGAGAGGGAACGGAAAGAGAGAGAGAGAGAGAGAGAGAGAGAGGGAGAGAGAGAGAGAGAGAGAGAGAGAGAGAGGGAGAGATGAACTTGTAATTTTGGGGTTTAAGGATTAGAAAGGGTAGAATATCTCAACTCTTCTCTTATCAATACAATTTTAAAGCCTAGTTATTCGGTCATAATCGACAAAAGTCCATGAGAGTTACCAGCAATTACATCTATATTTTAACCTTGATCAAGTAAGCTAACTTTGTATTCCTTTCCTTTTCTTTTACGATCAAAGGTTATCGGATGGGATCGCTTCCCAATTAAATGTAATAAGTTCATTCCTCACTCTCCTCCAAACCCCTTAAAAAACCCATTTTTTAACATGACATTTTTTGGGGGTCTCCTTTCAAATATTTGTCAGGTAGTCCTCGACGTACGACCACAACTGAGCCCCAAATTTCCGTGGGGCTAAGCGAGACAGTTAAGTAAGTTTTGCCCCATTTTACGACCTTTGCAGTTGTTAAGTTAGTCACACGGTTGTTAAGTGAATCCGGCTTCCCCGTTGATTTTGCTTGTCAGAAGGTGTTGTGGCCCACCAGCGGCCAAAGGAGTTGGCAGCAGAGTCGGACAGTGAGGAGGTTGGGGAGGAACATGGGCCAGTCCTGGAGTCTGGGGAAGGCTCTGATGAGGGCTCTGCGTCCGAGGCAGAGAGGGAGCCAGGACCGTCTGACAGTTATCAGCTGCCTTCGGAGTCAGACATCAGTGAGGGAGAAGAACAGCTGGAGCCTGTTCCCAGTATGCATATGCGCAGAGTTGCCAGATGAAGGGAACAGCTAAAGAACAAGGGTCGACTTGGGAGTAAGGCCACAGGTGGACAATGAATGGCCTCTCCCAGAGGGAATAAAAGAGGAGTGAAAGGGGAGTGGAGTTTGCAGGAGACAATTAGTTCGCTTACTTGGTTCGTGACTCTCTGAGACTCCTTGCCAAGTTTTGAAGATATCGGCCTGGCAGCTCTCCAAGCCAGATAAGGTCCGTGACTGTCAATTCTCCCCTTGAAAGACTTTGCTGGATGTGACTGAGAGGAATTCACAGTAACTTAATCAAAAGCGGTTTTTGTCGGGACACGGAGTCTGCTTCATGCTCTTGGGAAGCCTAGGTTGGAACAGAAGGTCGCAAAAAGGGATCACACAACGCCGAGACACAGCAACTGTCATAAATACGAGTCAGTGGCCAAACATCCCCATTTTGATCACGTGAATGTGGGGATGTTGCAACGGTCGTTAAGTGTGGAAAAAACGGTCCTACGTCACTTTGTTTTCAGTGGTCAGTCAGCGAACTGTTATTAAGTCCCTGTATTGTTTTTATCTCGTTAAACATTACCTCAGCAAAATTATATTTTTAAGGGAAAAAAAAAATCCTCAAATGACCTACACACAGCTGGGCTTCGCCTAGGGACGCAAACTACAAGATGCCGGGATTCTGAAGTCCCAAATATAAAAATGAAATGACATCACCCATCCCAACGGGAGTGACTCATTCCGACAGATGATATGCATTTGAATGGGAGAAATCTGAGGGGAAAAAGAAAATTAGGATATTTTGGAAAACACGACGGAGGAAAAGGCTGCGGAATGCTTCCAGGCAAAAGGAGAAGATGGCTGCTAAGACTGACAATTTGTGGGATGAGTCAAATTTGTAGTTTTCACTAGTGTCCATTTTCCTGAGAGATTCTAGGGGTCTGGGTACCCTAACCTCTTCCCCTTCTCTCCACCCAATTTAAGGCTGCATAGGGTCTTAATCTGAGCCCCTCTCTAGGAAAGCTTGTGTTGTGCTCCCCCTCAAATATCTCCCACTTCTCCAGATGCACATTTCATCACATGGAAGGAGATATACCCCGTTCCCCCGAAAATAAGACATCCCCTGATAATAAGCTCAAACGGGCTTTTGAGTGCATGCACTAAGATAAGCCTCCCCCGAAAATAAGCCCTCCCCGAAAATATTTAAACACAGAACTGGAAATCAGGGCAAGACGGCAAGAGGAGCCCCCTCTTGCTCCATGCGCCCCAAAATAATAAGACCTCCCGAAAATAAGGCCAAGCGCTTATTTCGGGGTTCAAAAAAATATAAGACAGGGTCTTATATTTGGGGAAACACGGTATATATTTGCATTTTTTTTTTCATTTCATTTTTTTTTAAAAAAAAAAGAGAACAGAATTTTGGAGATGTCCTCACACAGTATACAGAATAGGCATTTTATCAGTCATGAGTTCATCTGGTTTTTAATGATCTCATTCTCCCCCTGGAGGGGTTTGCAAACTGTCTGGTTTCTCATGTTTCCAGGAAGGGGAAAAAAAATATCCTGAGAAGAACCGTACAATTAGGACTTCTTTAGGTATGGTTGACTTAACAACTGTTCGAAGTTACAGCGGAACTGAAAAAATGTTTCATGCTTACAACCGTTGCAGAATAGAATAGAGTAGAGTAGAGGGTAGGGTAGAGTAGAGTAGAGAGTAGAGTAGAGGGTAGGGTAGGGTAGGTTGTAGAGTAGAGTGCAGAGTAGAGTAGAGTAGAGGATAGGGTAGGGTAAGGTAGGGTAGAGTAGAGAAGAGTAGAATAGAGTAGAAGGTAGGGTAGGGTAGAGGGTAGAGTAGAATAAAGGGTAGAGTAGAATAGAGGGTAGGGGAGGGGAGAGTAGAGTAGAGTGTAGATAGAGCAGAGTACAGAGTAGAGTGTAGAGTAGAGTAAAGAATGCCATCATTCTGCTAAACAAATAATTTCCTCAACACTGTCAAACTTTTTACTAAGTCTGCATTACTATTAATCTTCTCATCATTCCTATCACCCATCTCCTTCCACTTATGACTGTAACCTTGTTGCTGGTATCCTTAAGATATATATTGACTGTTTCCTAATATGATTTGATTGCTTATTTGGACCCTATGACTATCATTAAGTGTTACACCTTATGATTCTTGACGAATGTATCTTTTGTGTACACTGAGAGCCTATGCACCAAAGACAAATTCCTTGAATGTCCAATCACACTTGGCCAGTAAAGAATTCAATTCAATTCAATTCAATTCAACAAATTCTATTCTATTCTATTCTATTCTATTCTATTCTATTCTATTCTATTCTATTCTATTCTATTCTATTCTATTCTATTCTATTCTATTCTATTCTATTCTATTCCATTCCATTCCATTCCATTCCATTCCATTCCATTCCATTCCATTCCATTCCATTCTATTCTATTCTAAACAAGACCTACGCTCAAATTCTTCACCTACCTGGACAATTATGGCATTAACCATAGTCTACGGCTTAAACGCATTTCGGCCAAACGTCAGGATTTTTCTTCCGGAGTTTCTGTTAGCTCTCGGTACGCTGATTTTCTGACCTGCAAGAGAAGAGAGAAATTAAAGCCAGAATTAAAATAAGCAATACACAGTACAACGTTTTTTAGATCATGGGCAACTTTTTGAACCATTTATGGGAACTGCCATTTCACCACCTCTTGGTTTTTTTTCCTCTTTGCTTTTCAAAAGATATCCCTTCCTTCACCCAAGGAGACACCTACGAGCAGAGAACAAAGGAGGATAACAGAGTTGGAAGGGACCTCGGAGGTCTTCTAGTCCAACCTCTTGCTCAAGCAGGTGACCCGATACCAGTGGTGGCAAACCTTTTACTCAACGAGTGCCGAACAGGTACGCGCTTTGTGCGTGCATCTGTCATCCGCGCTAACACGCGGCACCTCCCTGTGCGCTGCACGCACAATCGCACCATCTGCGCAGGCATGTGGTTTTCACATGCGCAATGCACATGCACGAACGTCATCTGCGCATGTGCAGGCTGGACGCAAGTACTCTCACACTCATGCGACAAATGTGCGCGCATGTACAGAAGAGCTCCGAAGACACACACACACACCCGTATGCACACGCGATCCCCGCTTTTGGCACGTGACGGCAAAAAGGTTACCGGTGGGCCCAGTAGGCCCGTTTTTCGCCCTCCCCAGGATCTTTCTTGGAGCCTGGGGAGGGCAAAAACGGCTTCCCACCCACCCACCCGGAGGGTCTCCAGAGGCTGGAAACGGCCTCTGGAGGACCCGAAAGGCCCAAAACTCAGCTGGCCGGCACGCACATGCCTGCTGGAGCTGAGCTAGGGCAACGCTCTCGTGCCCCGAGAGATGGCTCTGTGCACCGCTTCTGGAACACGGGCCATAGGTTCGCCATCACGGCCCTATACCACTTCAGACAAATGGTTGTCCAGTCTCCTCTGAAAAACTTCTTAGTTCTAGGTTGCTTCTCTCCTTGGTTCGTTTCCATTCGTTGCCGTATCTTTTTATCCTGAGGCTTGGAAGAATAGAATAACAGAGTTGGAAGGGCCCTTGGAGGTCTTCTAGTCCAACCCCCTGCCCAGGCAGGAAACCCTCCACCACTTCAGGCAAATGGTTATCCAACATCTTCTTAAAAACTTCCAGTGTTGGAGCATTCACAACTTCTGGAGGCAAGTCGTTCCACTTATTAATTATTCTCAGTGTCAGGAAATTTCTCCTTAGTTCTAGGTTGACTTCTCTCCTTGATTAGTTTCCACCCATTGCTTCTTGTCCTGCCTCCAGGTGCTTTGGAGAATAGTTGACTCCCTGTTCTTTGGGGCAGCCCCTGAGATATTGGAAGACTGCTATCATGTTTCCCCTTCTTTTCATGAAACTAGACATACCCAATTCCTGCAACCATTTTTCATGTTTTAGCCTCCAGTCCCCTAATCAAAGCTAAATAGAAATAGAAATAGAATAACAGAGTTGGAAGGGACCTTGGAGGTCTTCTAGTCCAACCCCCTTCCCAGGCAGGAAACCCTACACCACTTCAGACAAAAGGTTATCCAACATCTTCTTAAAAACTTCCAGTGTTGGAGCATCCACAACTTCTGGTGGCAAGCAGTTCCATTGATTAATTGTTCTCACTGTCGGGAAATTCCTCCTTAGTTCTAAGTTGCTTCTCTCCTTGATTAGTTTCCACCCGTTGCTTCTTGTCTTGTCTTGGATCCTGTCGACTGCGATTTTCTTTTGAAATCTTCATGCTTTTTCTCTTTTTTCCCAAAGCGTGATTCTAGAAAGAGTCTGTAGCCAGAGGGCCGTTTGCAAAGCATCCGACGGTATGACTAAGGATGAAGGCAGAGAGAGGGGCTGCCCACACCGTTGGGCTCGGCGGCGGAAGCTATGCAAGCCATGATGCGCCCACCACGTCACTTTCCTTTTCTCCAGTTTCCCCCCCCCACAATTCAGATTTGCTGGGGGTGGACATCTATCCAAACGCATGAGTCAGACTTAATGTTCTTCAATCTTACTCATCGGCAGGGAGTTTTTAAGACAGGCTGAAGCACGGCACAGACCTATTGTCAACCTTAAATTTGGCCAAACTGTGGCCATTTTCATTTCGGTCCCTTTTCTCTAGGGAAGTTTCTCTTCTCAGAGCTTCGGGGCTGACACAGCCTAGAGCGAAGGGGTGTTGCAGCCTAAATAAAATTCTTTCCCCTGGGAATCAAGGAGGTTCATGCAGGTTTTCGCAAGGTGGAGACTGAAGCAGGGGTGAAATGCTCCCAGTTCGGAATGGATCGCCCGATATTGATGGAGGCGGGTGGTTAGGAGAACCGGTAGCAAAAATCCCTGCCCCCCCCCCCCCCAATTGCCCAGCTGAATCGTGCAATCATCAGAGGCTTTTTTATTTATTTTTAAAAGCATTTTTTCTACAATCTCTTCGCCCGAAAAAATGCTTTTAAAAGTTAAAAAAAAAAAAAAAGCCTCTGACGATCAGGCAACTCAGCTGGGATCGTCAGAGGCTTTTAAAAGCATTTTTTTTACAACCTCTTCGGCCGAACACAACACAAACCAGCGGTCCTCTCTATCCAAAATATGGACTTTGCCGTCTTCAAAAGAGCGGCCTTTGTCTGTTAAATGCAGATGGACTGCTGAATCTTGTCCTGATGGGTTTGTTCTCCTAGGTTGCGCCATGCGTTTATGAAGTGGTTGTTTTGTTTCCCCAATGGACAGATCTGCACGTATTGTATTGTATTGCTCACTGCATTGTACTGCATATACCAAAAGAATATAAATCCTTCCATGCCCCACCATCCAGGCAGAGCCGAAGAAGCTTCCTTGGGTGAGAAGCGAAGCGTCTTCAGAGAAAAATCAGAAAGTCCAGTTGCCTCTTGAAAAAAGCACCTTTGGGACAACCATGACCTGGATGACTGAGAATCTCCGTAGACTTCTAGCAAACCTGTTTTATAATCTGTGAAGATGAATACAAAATCCAGACGCCTTCCTGCCCAATCCAGGAATACAAAAAGCATTTGCATAACTGTGAGAGACTATTAACAGAGAAGTGAGAGACTATTAACAGAGAAACAATCATTAGCAAGTCTTACACCTACTGTGCTGTCAAAAACAAGTGTTGGCTTACTCTCAGGTAAGCTTCCTATTTCATTCTGATATTATTCGAAACGTCTTGTTCAACCCATCTGCTCAACAAACAGAAAGGTGAAAAAGTTGACTTGGGGGGGGGGGGAAACCCTGACATGAAGACTTTGAAGTCCATCAGATGCCTTCAGAAATATCACGGGCAACCCCACCGACCCAAGTAGAAGATTTACAGGACAAGAAGGAACAGGTGGAAGATCATTAAAAGAGAGGTGCAACCTAGAACCCAGGAGAAATTCCCTGACATTGAAAACAGTGGAAGAATATTATCTATTAAATATTAGGCCAGATAAGATAGGCACGAATATATGGTGTCTGATTACATATATCACAACCGCAGCAAGAATATGTTTTGCTCAACATTGGAAGGGGAAAGACCTACCGGCTGAAGATTTGATTTTGGGAAAAATTATCGAATATGCGGAAGCTGACAGGTTAACAAAAACTCTTGAGAGATCAAAAGGATTCCGTATATTTTCAATGTTGGGACCAATGGTATATCTGGTTGAATAATAGAATAAAAAAAGGATAAGGTTAGTGTAGATTTTATTTTTTATTTGTATATCTTGACTGAAGTTAATATACTGTGTAAAGCTCCCATGATCTGTGTGTGAATAAATATTTTGTTGTAAAGAAATAAATAAAAATAATAATAATAAAAAAAAAATAAAACAGTGGAAGGGTCTGCGTTCAGAGGTTGTGGGTCCTCCCGTCACTAGAGGTTTCTAAGAAGGGATTGGACAACCATTTGTCCTGAATGGCATAGGAGGTTGGACTAGCTGACCTCTGAGATCCCTTCCAACCCTACTATTCTATGTTCTATGGAGCGGAAGGGAGAGAATAGCAATAGCACTTATATTCCGCTTCTTAGTGCTTTATAGCTCTCTCTAAGCGGTTTACAGAGTCAGCCTCTTGCCCCCCAACAATCTGGGTCCTCAGTTTACCCACCTCGGAAGGTTGGAAGGCTGAGTCAACCTGGAGTGGAGTGGAGTGGAGTGGAGTGGAGTGGAGTGGAGTGGAGTGGAATGGAATGGAATGGAATGGAATGGAATGGAATGGAATGGAATAGAATGGAATAGAATGGAATGGAATGGAATGGAATGGAATGGAATGGAATGGAATGGAATGGAATAGAATAGAATAGAATAGAATAGAATAGAATAGAATAGAATAGAATAGAATAGAATAGAATAGAATAGAATAGAATACTGATTAAGTCAGGCGATCCAACCGATCAGTCCTGGAGGAGATCAACCCTGATTGCTCTTTAGAAGGCCAGATCCTGAAGAGGAAACTCAAATCCTTTGGCCACCTAATAAGAAGGAAGGACTCCCTGGAGAAGAGCCCAATGCTGGGAACTATTGAGGGCAAAAGAAGAAGAAGGGGACAAGAGAGAACGAGGTGGCTGGATGGAGTCACTGAAGCAGTCAGCGTGAGCTTCAATGGACTCCAGAGGATTGTAGAGGACAGGAAGGCCTGGAGGAATGTTGTCCATGGGGTCACGATGGGTCGGACACGACTTCGCGACTAACAACATGTGTTCACATCAAATATGTTAAACTACTACAAATAGATGGTCATAGTAAGTCATTACCCCTACAGTTAATCATGACCTGATCTAAATATTTTGTCCTCTTGGAAACGGCCTAGAAGAGAAGACAGAGAGAGAGAGGTCTGTTTATGAAGTAGGCCAGGAAACAAGAGCAACATGCCCCATTCTTTGGAAGAACAAGCCAAGGGCTGAAGAGGCTGGCAAAAGACTCCATTGTTCCACCCATCTGTAGGCATCTCTTGATCTTCTCCACCACATACTGCAGGCCGCGCCTAAGATCCCGGTTGTTGGTTTTGCTAATGAGAGAAACGTATGACCTCAGCAAGGAACAGACAGGTTGGTCTTAGCAGCACCCTTTGGTTGAAAGACA